GGCGGCAGCACACGCAGCCAGGATCTTGTGCAGATCAAGTTGGCCATCCAGGCGCAGACGAAGCGAGCCCATGCCCAGGAGACACTGTTGTACAAGGCCACCCAGACGCAGGATGCGGTGCAAACCGCTGATAGGGGAGTCCAAGCGAATCACGAGTCAAGGGAGGCAGGCAGTAAGTTATCTCTACTACGTCTACTATTTTATGAACCGGTTTTATAACTTTCATTTACTTCCGAAGGTAAACTGCTCAAGTCCAACTCCCGCGCCTATGTTCCGCATCGTGCCAGCTCACATGTGGCTTCGGAACGCAACAGCTTGAATCTTCATCGGCGCACTCAGTCAGAGGCTCCGCCAGTGAGCCACAAGAAACCTGTGCCAGCTCCAGTGGCAGTGGCCGTGATTGAACCGAAGACTGTCCAAGGAAAAGTTACGGCAGTGCCGGCCAAACTAGGCGAAGTGCGACCTCGCTACTTGGAGCCCCGCAAACCAAGGGCTGCCGCTTCAGCCGCTACCAATGGCCATGGAACCGGACCCGTGCGCAGTGCCACCAGCTCGAGCATTCCGGCCAATGGCGGAAGGAAGGCTCCGGCCAAGAACCTGCACATCTCGTCCAGCGACAGCTCACGGAATTCAAGTCCGGCGGCAGCGCGCAGAGGGCAGAATGGCACACGGCTGGGCAACAAGTCCAGCAATCTTTCCATGGACAGCTTGGCATCGCCGGCACGTCGGGCCAAGAGCAGCTCTCGGGGACCACAGGAAAGGTACTCCTCCGACCAGAACTCGCTGGCGGAGAGCATGAAGAGCTCTGTGATCACCAACAAAACGATCTCACACGAGTCGCTCTCGAGCAGCTCGAAACTGGCCAGGATTCAGCAGTTAAATGGCCTCGGCAAAGAAGCCGCAACGGGAAAGATTAAGGCCACACAGCGTGGATCCACGGTAGGGAATAAGTCCACCCGCCAGCTGAAGCAGCAGCATAATGCCATGGCCTCCAATGGATCCAGTCCCAGTTCGGTGCACACCACCAAGTCGGCAGCCAGTCGTCTGTCCTCCGTCAGCAGCACACTTTCCACGCGGGAGCTGTTCAAACAACGCTCCATTTCAGTGCCTGCTGGTGGAACAGATGGAGCGGCACCAAACAAGGGACGACACAGCTTCCTCTCGGCCAAGTCCCGTGAGATTCTGGCCAAGCGGGCCGAGAAGAACAAGCTGCAGCAGCAGCAGCAACAGCAACTGAAGCATTCGGAGGAGCCTGTCGATGAACGCGGGGGATCAGTGCAATTGCGCTCCTCTGCCGGCCCGCTACGCTCCTCCTCACATTCCGCCGTGTCCAGCATGCTGCAGCAGCACAATCTGCGCAACAGTCTGCCCTCCAGCATTCCCACCCGACGCCCGAATACGCTGCATCTCAAAAAGACCACTGCAGCGGTGACAAACGGAGTGGGTGGTGGCCCAACTAAAGCGGCAAATTCAAATGGGCTGCTGACGAATGGCACCTACAAGTCAGCCCAGGCGATCAAACAGAAGCTGGACCTGCTCATCGATGCCCAGATGGAGAGTGGCGGGCCCAGGGAGCGTGTCGAGTCCAAACTGGAGCGCTCCAGCACCTTCTGCAAGGATAGCGCCGATCTGGACATCAGCGAACTGCAGATTGTGGAGTAGTCAAGTTAAGATTAGAGAGCAACAGCATCTATATGGGGTAATATCAACTGAGTTACTAAATATAAACACTAATGATGTACTAATCACTTATCTACCTAGGTTGTATCAAATATGGCCCCCCAGAGCAGATGCCAACCCGAATCCAGAACCGTACACGTCCCATAAGGCAACACTAGTCAATAATCTAGCATGCAGCTGCCGTTGCAGTTACAAGCATGAAACCATTATACAATAGCGATACTAACGAGATGATGTTACTACCAACCGACAGCCGCGATAATTAAAAACGTTAAAATACCAGACAGCCGAAACCCAAAACAAAGCAAACACGTAATTGCCGTTTAACCTAAACCACTCCGAAGTATAATTATATTAGCTTATTGCGATAGGAAGGCAAGCGATCGATCTATGGATTGTATGCAAAGCGGATAAAAACAAAAGAAAAGAAAAAAACTGAAAATGAAAACAAGTATTTGGTGATATTATTTAGAGTGCGCTTTATGTTTACGTTTAATGCTAAGTATAACAAGTGCTTGTAACCCGAACTCTCTACTCAAAGTACGTTCTTGCGGATCCAAGAATGCTCTACTATATATGCTTTGTGCGCTTTGCAGGCTGCATTTAAAGTCTTACTCTCTATTTATCCCGCTTTATTGTCAAAGCCCGCCCAATTAAACATACATATATATGCAATTGTGTATATATAAGAAAGGAAAAGAAGATTGATGAACCATCTCTATAATAATTTAAGCTTGAACTTTTTTATACTGTTGTTTATTTAACTCGTACTCGTAACAAAGGCGCATTACTTCAGCAAGGCAACCAAGGAAGCGTCTCTTACATATTATTTTAAACAAATTAATTTATAAATTTTAATTATTTGGTAAATATAGAACGAAGCGAACGAAAGTGAATTTTTTGTAAGCAACGGCATTGATACATTGATATATTGATAATGAAGTGCAAGAGTAATAAATGTGTGTATTTATTAAAAGTTACCATATAAAGCAAGAGTTTTAGTTGTTTTTGTTGTTGGCAATCGGAATAAAAAATTATTACCAAGGAATAATAAGTCTTTTTCATATAAAAAAATATAAATTCAATAAATAGTATTTATTTATTAAATGCAATCATTTGCAGCTAGTAGTCACCCTAGTAAAACATTGAACCTCACTCCCTATACTTTCTTCTTACTTTAAATATTAGTTTTTGTTTTATTCCATTCTACATTATCTATCGTTAATGTTATGATTTGTTTACTACAATTAATGTATCATACAAAGCGTGTCTCGCATTCATTCAGATTCTAATTACAACCGAAACTGGGACTAAAATAACAATCGTATCGCAGTCGTATATCCCGTGTAATATACGACATGGCGATCGCAGGTCGCTGGCTCGTCTAGGGCTAGAGCAGTGCAGCGCTTAAAATAGAGTTAAAATCTAGGCTAAGTCTAGAATGTGGTGCTGGTGGTGGTGGTGGTGGTCGGCGTGGCTACGAGGGCGAAGTCTTCATGGTTAGCACCCAGTCGTTGAAAACATTCCGACAGTGTATGACCACGCACTCATTGCTGCAGTACTCATCTTCCCAGTCCGGATTGATGATGGCCGGCTTGTTGCACTGCTCGCGGGTGCATTTCTGCACCCTGGCCGCTTCGGTGAGTAGTTGGATCTGTTCGGGCGGCGGTTGCTGCTGTGCGAGCACTGGCTCCTCGACAGCCTCCACCTTGGGTGCGACTAGCTGCTGCTGCGGCGGCATGACCACTGGCTGCGGGGGGACAACTATTGCTGGTTCCACCTCCGACGTGGCCTCCGATTCGGTCAGCTGATGGCGGTAGTCCCGCATCAAACGCACATAGTCACGTTTCTCCTGCTCGTGCCGCTGGCTGTATATGTTCTTTCGCGTCTCGTCCAGCGACTCCCACATGGTCTGCACAATCACCTGCATCTGCTCCAGCGAACAGGCGGGATTTTGCTGCTTGATGGCGGTTACGGTGTCGCGGAAAAACAGCGCAAACGGGGCCAGTGGTTTGGATGGTGCCTGTGCGATAGGCTGGTGTGGCTCCGGTTGGGCCAGCAAGTTCTGTCCACCTCCTCCACTGCCATATGTGTCGCAATCCTCCTCGTCATCGTCTTCGTTCAACATGGACTGATCCAGGCTAAGCATTCTCCGCGACTGCAAAATGGAAGAGACAAGAGATATGTGGTTAATTCAATGATTTACTGTACGAATCCCAGCGAGAGCTCACTAAAAACTTCTTCATCCCAATCACAGAGTGAGCACTAAACTAATGTACAAATTGCTTGCCCAAGCCCAGCCCAGTTGGATGGCAAGGGGGAGGGGAGTGAGTGTATATATATGTAACCTGCGCTGCTGATTGTGCGACTGTGTGTGCGTGCTGTTTGCTGATAAGAAGCTGACGCGGCGTTTGTGGAACGCTCGCCCAAGCGATAACCCAAAAAAAAGGGGGCATGGGCAGGAGGCGGGGGGAACTCCTCCAGCTGGTGGCCAGCACACAACAAAAACAACAACAACTGCCGCCGATTTCGATCTCTCTCGCTCATTATAAATCCATTAGGAGTGCCATCGATGCGCGGCAATTAGGTGGGATAGTCGACTGTAAAAACTGTCGCCAATTCAGAGTACATTCTGTACTGGTCCTCTGGATTCCGGATTGGATTGCACTCCTCTCCATCACTTACGGCTTGATTTGGACTCTCCGCCGGCGTGTCGTTCAGCTCGAACACCTCGTCGCCGAAAGAGGGAGTGTGGAACTGATTCATGGCTACGCCTCCTGTTATTCTCCCAGAGGCTTATTTACAAAAAAAATAATTAAACAATTTCTGGCGTTTTATTATCGTGTGGGCTTTAATTAGTGTGACCGTTGGCGGATATGGGACAAATGGGGGCGAAGCGACATTTTCCAACACTGTTGTGGTTTGACTACTGGTTCCGACTCAAAATAACTTTTGATTCTTTTAATTCTTTCATTAAATTGTTATTGAAATAGTTGACGGAAAAATATTTTTTTTAATAAATAAATATATAATAAAATCTTGCTGGAATGTGCTTTGTCGACCTCGATTTATTATATTTATTATTTATTATATAGATATTTGTAGTTATAAAGTTAACAGATTGAGAGCGTTTAAAATTTTTAAATATAACCAATATATAAAATTACATTTTTTTGTACCTGTGCCGATAAAAATAATGTGATATCAATTTGAATATTCTGTGGTACAGCTTTGGTACCCAACTTGATTAGTGGAACTATTTCGGTACCAGTTCAGTTCTGGTTCCACTTTTGAAGTACAGTTTTGCAAGAAAAGAAATGTCGCGCAGGCAACTCTGTTCAAAATTGAAAGTTTTTCTTTAAATTAAATTCGATGTTTGAAAAGCAGCAATAAAATTTGTATTTGGCCATTAAGAGTAAAATTTACGTATGAGCAGGGTGCACAAAATGGCATGGAGCAACGTTGGCATATTCCTGAAGCTCAGCTCGCAGCGTTGTCAGCTCCTCAGCTTAGGATCCAAAAAAGAGGTATCCGGAGGGCTGAGCACCGGCAAGCTCAAGTCGGATGTCCTTGTTAGTACCTCGAATGCCAGGTACATGGAGTGCTTGTTTTCCAAATGGACTAAGGACAATAACTCTGTTCATGGAGTAGGTCAAGTAAGATTTGGTAAAAGGATTCCCTAACTCTTTTTTATTCTTAGACCTGGCAGCGATTCTTCAAGGATTTAGTATATGAAGAAGGGGAGACAACTATGCCCGCTCCATGCCAATTCTATCCTAATCCCATTGCAAGTCCTGATCAACTTCGAAAGGATGTTTCCATTTCTTTGCCTCCCAAACAAGAGGTAACTTTGCCGAAAGAGTCGCCACATAAATCCCACGAAGCAAAACCTTTGGAAAGTGGAACAAAACTTAGCGCATCGACTGCAGATAAAGTAAATAACTTAAAAAAAAACTTAAAACAAATTGAGACTAACAGGAATGCAATTAAAAATATTAAATATTATATTTTTAAAAAAACCATCCTTATATAATGTCAAATTTTTAATGCATCAACAATTCTCATACAATAATTATTTGAATTTCAATGTATTCAGACTATTGATTATTTAAAATTTTATAATTTCTAATTTATTTGAAGGTAGGATCGTGTTCCCCAATGGCAAACCACTTAATCGACGTATCGAAAGGATCTCCAGTGCTTGTGAGGAAGACAACAAAGTCTCCTCCGGTACTGAAGAACCAATCGAGCATTTCGAAATCAACTAGCGAACAGTTGGACTCGAATACTTGCGTGGTTTGTCCTCAAAAGGTGGACATGAATGTGCTGGCACTTTCACCGGAAATCAGGACATCTGGACTGTCAGGCTGTCAGGATGTGCTCCAGTTTTCAACAAGTTGCATAAAGAAACGCGAAGGCAGTTCAATTTTAACAGTCAATGAAATGGAGAACAAATTTTCAAAAAATCAGACTAGGAAATTCTGTCAGAAGAAGCCTCCAGAAGAGCTAAACTTACCTACTATGTCAACGGAGGTGAAAGACTCTTTGGGTTCCCAAAGAACAGCATATGCTCGCAATAACTTTAAAACAAAATTTGGATCTCTTAGTACTTTCATGAAATATTGGCGACAAGCTTGTAGAAAGAGCCATTTGAAACGGGTTTCTGGGCCAGAAATGGTTGTGAAAAGGTCTACAAAAGCCAATTCCAAGCCAAGAAACATCATGTACTTCAAAAGTTATTACGAAAAGAATCTTAGCCAAGGAAAGGACAAGGTGGCTAAAACTGCAAATGAAAAACCATTAAAACCGAAAGATGAAAACTCAAAGGAGCAGCCAGAACCAAGACATTTCAAGTCGAATGATAACAAAATTCAAGTTTTTGGTTACCAAGCGGAAGATGAAGATAGCCCTAAGATGAAACTCGAGGCAGAAGATATCACTTTGAAGGCTACCGAACCACCAAATAAAACAGAATCCGAGGGGCACAGCACTTCTAGCAAACCAAAAAATAAAACTGATACTTATGAAACCCTTGAAGACCTGATCAACGATATCGACGACACCACCTTGGATAGAGACATGATTGATCCGATTGAGCCAGAGATAAAAGACAGTAAAACATCAAAACTCTTGGAAAACACTTCAAAAAAGAATCCAACAGCATACAAAACGACGCTTAGAGTTTTTAAGTCTAAGCTAAAAGGCAACACAAAAAATGATAAAAAAGTAAAACCAAAACCTGAAGCTTTAAAACCTCTTAGGATTTTTAATGCCGATCAGAAAGGCCCACCAAAGGTAAAACCTACAGAAGAAGATAAATCATGGATATATTCAGATGAGATCACTCTAAAAAATTTTAAAAAACCAACTAATGATACAAAGAAAAGTACTTTAAAGACTCCTGGGGTTGGTAAATCCCCAATCAGTGATCTCAAAAATAACTCCATCAAAAAACCTTTGGATGAAAACACACGGAAAAATAAAAAGACGGAGTAAAGTTATAAAGCTTCAAAGTCATCTAAGGGGTTTCAATCCATTATCAATAATCTTAAAGATAACACCACTAAAAAGCCTTTGGAACCCACGAAAAACGATTAGGATCACTTGCATCCTTCTCAGTGACCTTTGAACTTGAACTGGCCAACCGAATCTCAGCATGTCTTGCCATAAATTACTAAGCAGCTCGAAATATTTGTCGAGCTCATAACTCTCTCAGCCGTCAGACCCTGAACACTTTTTGGCTTTCTTACTAAGTAAAATTCAAAATTTACCGGACCTCACAATATGAACCAATGTCGGCTGAGGAGTCTGGTGCAGATGAAGAGGAAACTGGCGCTGGCACAGCTGGCCACTGACCACCACATCCTTGCCCAGCTAGGCCTTCGCACCTTAAAGACTAGTTCGCCGCTGTGCGGTGCTCATGATCTGGACTCCTTCGCCAACGGATGCAGTGCAGCCTACATCGAACGCCTCTATAGCAAATGGAAACGCAATCCGAAGTCAGTGGATGAGGTGAGTTTTCTGAAGCATACATGAAACATCTCATCCTCTTATATTAAACACATAATTTAGATTTTTTGATCATAAATATTTCGAGTTATTAAAATAAGTTCAAGTTAAAAAAAAAAACGTTTGTAATTTATTGGAGTCAATTTGATATAAAGCTATAAAAAGATTGAATCCTATAAAATGAATATTAATATTACAAAATTTATTTTTTATTTTTATTTTATTTGATTACTACCTAGTCCTGGGACGAGCTCTTCGGCGGCGGCGAGCGGTCAGTCTCCAAGAGGATGCCTGTCCAAACTTCGCACTCCCGGAAGTACAGACGTGCTCCGGTGGAAAGGACAGTTGTGAAGGCTCGTCTGGGCGAAAGGACGGCATCCGGAGCGCCAGCTCCTTCTGCGCCTCCCAGTGACTGGAAAAATATCGATGACCACCACACAATCCAGGCCATCATCCGGGCCTATCAATCGCGAGGTCACCTGGCCGCCGATCTGGATCCTTTGGGAATTATTATTCCTGATAAAGGAGCCTCTGTGGATGGCTCCCAACGCAATGCGGCCAGGGAGGTACTTAGGCAGCACTATTCCTATATATTTGGTGGGCATTTATTTGTTAATTCATATTCAGAAAGTAATTTATATGAGCCTTTTCTCTCAGGTGATCTCAATGCTATGTTCAAGCTGCCCTCATCCACGATGATAGGCGGTGATGAGGAGTTTTTGCCACTGAGGTGGGTTTAAAGTGATCCATATTGAGTGTAGATTATTATTGCCATTCATACTAGGGAGATACTGGACCGCTTGGAGCGCATCTACTGCGGCCACATTGGAGTGGAGTACATGCAGATCACTTCGTTGACGAAGACCACCTGGATTCGCGACCGATTCGAGAAGCCCGGTTCCTTGGACTTAAACAAGGAGGAGAAGAAACTCCTTCTAGAGCGTCTGATCCGCGCCACGGGCTTTGAGAACTTCCTGGCCAAGAAATTCTCGTCGGAGAAGCGCTTCGGCTTGGAGGGATGTGACATCATGATCCCCACCATCAAGGAGGTTGTGGACCGCTCAACGAATATGGGCGTGGAGTCTATTTATATAGGTACAGTATTACAATTTCATAAAATAATTATTATTGACTTGTATCAAGAATAATTATTTTGGAGCAAAATTTGTCCACCTTAGTTCTAAAGAATTAGAATATGAATGACATATGTCAAGTTAGATAGATAACCAATATTTATAAAAGGAATATTATTCGTTCTAAAATATTTATTTTTTTTTAAAGAATACATATAACAAGAAAGGAAGCAAACTTCGGCAAGCTGAAGTTTATATACCCTTGCAGCTATTGCAAGAATTAAATATTTTTGAAAACATTAAAATTATGATTTACTTCGTATATTTTTGAAAACATTGAAGCAATGAGGATTTGCAGCTCAATTATTAGATAGTTGTTTTATATATTTTTATTATTTCTTAGGGAGCTATATGATATAGTCGTCCGATTTTGATGAAATTTTAACCGTTATTCTGAAATATTTAACCATTACAATATGTCGAAAACCTAATAGAAAAATTTAAAAACAGCAAAGTTATGCTATAGTCGTCCGATCTGGCTCGTTTCGACTTATATACTACCTGCAATAGAAAGATAACATTTGAGAAAGTTTCATGCAGATTAGCTTTAAAACTGAGAGACTAGTTTGCGTAGAAACGGACGGACAGACCGTCAGACGGACAGACGGACGGACAGACGGACATGGCTAGATCGACTCGCCTAGTGATGCTGATCACTGCGTTGCAAACTTCTGACTGAAATTATAATACGCTCTGCAAGGGAATAATAAAAATTTAAAATAGAAATATCTTATGGGAAAGTGATAGATAGGCCAACGAGAATTAATAGAGTTTTTCTTTTTTATATGCCGATTTTAATTGATTGATTGATCCACACATATTCCATTACTTGTTCTAGGAATGGCCCACCGTGGACGCCTCAATGTGCTGGCCAACATCTGCCGGAAGCCCATTGCCGACATCCTTTCGCAGTTCCACGGTCTGGCGGCCACCGACTCTGGATCCGGGGATGTGAAGTACCATCTGGGCGTTTTCCAGGAGCGGCTTAATCGGCAGACAAATCGCATGGTGCGGATCACCGTGGTGGCGAATCCCTCGCATTTGGAGCACGTGAACCCGGTGCTGCTGGGCAAGGCACGGGCGGAGATGTTCCAGCGCGGCGATACCTGTGGCAACAAGGTGCTGCCCATCATCATACACGGCGACGCCTCCTTCTGCGGCCAGGGCGTGGTCTACGAATCGATGCATTTGTCTGACTTGCCCAACTATTCCACCTACGGCACCATTCACATTGTGACCAACAACCAGGTGGGCTTCACCACCGATCCGCGCTTCTCCCGCTCCTCGCGTTACTGCACTGATGTGGCCAAGGTGGTGTCTGCTCCCATTCTGCATGTGAACGCCGACGATCCGGAGGCTTGCATCAAGTGCGCCCGCATTGCCGCCGACTACAGGCACAAGTTCAAGAAGGATGTGGTCATCGACATAGTCGGCTACCGCCGTAATGGACACAATGAGGCCGATGAGCCAATGTTCACACAACCGCTGATGTACCAGCGCATCCGAAAGCTGAAAACATGCCTCCAGCTCTACTCGGAAAAGCTGATCAAGGAGGGCGTGGTCTCGGACAACGAGTTCAAGGCAATGGTCTCTCAATACGACAAGATTTGCGAGGAGGCCTGGACCGAGTCCAAAACAATGAAGAGCATAAAGGTAAGAAACCGGAGTAAAGGCTTTTTTATGCCCGTTAACCCCTAGAGTTAAATGATACATTGTAGTTGATAAAAAGGATGTTACAAGTAGAAAGGATTATATTTTTGATCATAATCAATAATTCGGAATCTCTGAAACTATAGAAGCCAGAGATTTAGGATTTTTCGTACAGATTTTAGTTAGGCAAACGCATAGCAAATTAATCTTAAAATTCGGCCACGCCTACCTTAATGTCCACAAGTCTAAACACTGTCCAGTTATTGGTCGGTATATATTTATTTAGTCAATATCTAAAGACACTCCCAAAATCTCTCAAACCAAACCATTATTTTAGAAGTTATAAGGAAAGTTTTAATTATGACGTCACTGCATATTCCTGAGAGAACTGAAGAGAGCGAAATAACAGCTCGCTTTAAGCAAGTACTTCGGCAGATGGCGCCACCTAAACCTGATTGTCCTCTGGGGTGTATTTACTTTAAAAATTATTATCTGAGTAACGGGTATCAATCTTATTTTATTGTCTTTTTTCCGTAGTACTCGTCTTGGATTGACTCCCCCTGGCCGGGTTTTTTCGAAGGTCGTGATCGACTAGAGTTGTGTCCCACTGGCATCAGCACGGATACCCTAAAGACAATTGGCGAGATATTCTCCAGTCCTCCGCCGCCGGAGCACAAGTTCGAGATGCACAAGTGAGTGTTGCTAAATAGTAATAGTTATCTCGCAATATAAGTATACTTTTTCCCATCCCATCCAGGGGCATCCATCGCATCCTGGCTCTGCGAAAGCAAATGGTGGAGGACAAGGTGGCGGACTGGTCGTTGGGCGAGGCTTTTGCCTTTGGCTCGCTGCTCAAAGAGGGTATCCATGTGCGGCTGTCGGGTCAGGATGTGGAGCGCGGCACCTTCTCGCACCGGCATCATGTGCTGCACCACCAGACGGCCGACAAGGTGGTGTACACCGCCCTGGACCACCTGTATCCCGACCAGGCACCCTACTCCGTGTCCAATAGCTCACTATCTGAGTGTGCTGTGCTGGGCTTCGAGCATGGCTACTCCATGGCCAGTCCGCATGCGCTGGTCATGTGGGAGGGCCAGTTCGGTGACTTCTGCAACACGGCGCAGTGCATCATCGATACGTTCATAGCCAGCGGGGAGACCAAGTGGGTGCGCCAGTCTGGTGTGGTGCTGCTCCTTCCCCACGGCATGGAGGGCATGGGTCCGGAGCACTCCTCCGGCCGCATGGAGCGTTTCCTGCAGATGAGCGACGACGATCCGGATGTCTATCCGGACACCTGCGATTGCGACTTCGTGGCACGCCAACTGATGAATATCAACTGGATCGTGACGAATCTCTCCACGCCAGCCAACATCTTTCATGGACTGCGTCGCCAGGTGAAAATGGGCTTCCGCAAACCGCTGATTAACTTCTCGCCCAAGTCTCTGCTGCGTCATCCGCTGGCCCGCAGTCCTTTCAAGGACTTCAACGAGTGCAGCTGCTTCCAGCGCATCATTCCCGACAATGGTCCCGCCGGCAAGAAACCCGAGTGCGTCAAAAAGTTGATATTCTGCTCCGGCAAAATCTACTACGATCTCTTCAAGGAGCGCGACGATCACGAGCAGGTCGAGTCGGTGGCCCTTGTAAGGGTGGAACAAGTAAGTCAATATTATATATCAGCAGTGTTGGGGAGTATTTAGAAAGATTTTAATAACAGATATATTTAATCTTATTTTTATCAAAACAATTTTAAATGCAGATAATACCCATTTGAAATGTTCGATCTTCAGGCAATTAAAATATAAGAACTTTTTAAACTTTTTCTTTGCAACCTATTTTGTTCCATTAACTTTATCAAGATTTTGAAAAATGGTTTAACTTTTACCTTGCCAAAGTTTTTATTAGCATAACTAAATTGCAATATTGTTTTAATATACCTTATCTATATACTTTATTACTTTAACCTTATTTAACTATTTCCGCAAATACTTTATCATCTATGTTTGTCCTCCATTCTGCAGCTGTGTCCCTTCCCGTACGACCTGATCAGCCAGCAGCTGGAGCTGTATCCCAAGGCGGAGCTGATTTGGGCGCAGGAGGAGCACAAGAACATGGGTGGCTGGTTCTACGTGCAGCCACGATTCGACACCGCGCTGCTCAAGAACGAAAGCGAAACGTAAGTGCCCACAAAACCCAGATATAATCTGTAAATGCCAAGGTGCAATGCCAGGCCTTGGGCTACTCCCCTGTGGGTGATTCAATTCAGGTGCGATTATCGTTGACGCACCTTCAAAGTGTCAATCGGTGCGGTGCGTTGCCAGTGACGACTCCTCGGATGCCCCTACGCATCGCTTGACACCCCTTAAAATTCCGTGTGACGCCATCTTTGGCGCTCATGCTCATGCTGATGCTGATGCCGATGGCAATGTGGATGTTGCATGGCGATAGCGATGTTGACACCCAAGCCAAAAGCATGCCGAAACAGCAAAGATTTGGGGATTTTCGGTTTAATTGTTTTTGCTTTTGATACCTGGCATTTGTTTGGGGATTGGGGTATATCATGTTTTTTGTCTTCAGTTGTTTTCTGAAATTTTTTTTTTAAAGAAAAATACTTAACTGTTTCTAATGAGTCAAATATTTTATTTATAAAAGTACATATGTTTATTAGTATTGAGCAATTATGTTAAAATAGGTATACCTGCTAAGTAAATTTCCTTTGTATGATTTTGTTTTGCATTAACCAAAATAGTAAAAAAAAAATTTTGAAATTAGTTTTCTTAAAATACTTCGAGACGAATAGTATAATTTGATGTCATAAAAAAAGAAAATTAAAGTGGATATAAAAATGTTTCCTATTTTACAAACACAATGCAATTCAAACTAAACCAGAATTCACGTTGGAATGTATGATAATTCTTCGCTCATACATGTATTCTGTTAACAAATAGATTACTCTAGTAACAAGTTAATAGCAAGTACTATTTTTATGCTATAAATACAATGCACTAATCATCACATTTTATTCTCGTTTGGCTGTATTTCTTTGCTACCAAACGTGTGCCAAGCGAATTCGAGAAGGTTGCCCTAAAGATTTACAGAAGTGGGGACCGCTTTTATAAACATTGCCAAATATATTGTTGTTTAGTTTTTGGGATGCTTCTTTTAAGAAGGTGTAACGCACTTGGCCTCGTCAGAGTTCAAATGGCGCCACCGCAAAATCGTTTCCCGACTCGGAATTTACTATAAGGTTGAGGTGGTTCTTTGACTTTATTACTATAATAAATTGGGTGTTAGTGGGTGATGAAATATGCGGGTTCATGGACGGCATGCCTGTCGCTCTGAAACGATTAATTGCCGCTCGGCGAAGGCTCCAATAATTTGTTCAATTTGGCAACTGCGTTGTTAGTAATTGGCCGGGTCCGAATGGTGGCCTCGTTGTCGATTCGATGTTGGACATCGCATTGTATTTACAGAGAACTGGCGCAAGGAACTTGGCACAGATTCGCGGCGTTTGATACTAAAACACTTTCCCCGCTTTCTCCCCCTCTTTCTCCTCTCTTTTCTTGTAGACGGGGTCTTTTCGCCCAGATATCTCGCCTCTCCACAACAATTTTAATTCGCAATCGCATTCGCATTCTCGGACCCAAAACCCAATGCTCCCTCTAATAACGCTAATGCTGCGCTAGATTTCTGCTCTGATTTATGGAAAACAATATTGCTTCCCTGAGACTGAGACCACATAAACATTTTGTCGGGGGAAATTCAAAATAATATCTGCGATATGTACGAGACAGATATATGGTTTTATGTGTAACCGCCGAGGACCCTTTCTCTGCACTTGAAATCTTTGATGTTTTGGTCTTCATAAGTGTTCCCAACTATCGTTCAACTCGAAATTCCGAACATATAGAATGAAATGTGCTTTGTTTTTCAATTTCTTTTGTGCAAATATGTATGTGCACTGGAAAAAAAGGGTAAATGTAGATTGAAATTTGTAAAAATGGTTTAGATAGCTAATATATTTATTAAGTTTACAAAAGTGGAACTTGAAAAGTTTTGAAATACGGTATAGTTTTTATAAATTTATAATCTGTACAACTTAAAAACTTATGGAATATAGTCTATTCTTTATAGATATATATCCTGTATAAAGATCTTTTTTAAAAATAGTAGTTTGAGCGCTATATTGTAAGCAGGTGTAAAAATGGAAATTCAAAACTTTTGAAATACCATAAGCTATCATATTCTGTAGTATATTTTAATGAGAATTCGGTTGCTTAAAATCCTTAGCCATTTTATCAAATTAATTGAAGTACAACCCACCTGTTACGTGAGGTTTTCAAATATAAAAATTCTTTATATTTATTTGTCATGTTATTATTCCACTTAATTAGAGGCTGTCCTGCTCAATTTGATTTACATTGTGTTTAAAACGACCCTAGACACTTGATTTTATGTGATGTGTTAAAATTACCGGTTTCATTGTAAGGAAAAGCGATTATGGCCTGTCTGATTATATCCTTTGTTTACCTTTTCGCAATAATTTATTTGACATTTCCACTGACAGTACCCATGAAATATTAATTTTTCCTGTGTACTCGTCGTAGCGAGGCAAACATAATGTCTTGATCGCACATATATTCATATATACATAGGTAGTACTCGGTTGCCAGCCCCGAAAATTGAATGAAAATCCCGCCAGAGGCAGAGGCCTTTAGGAATGTAGCATATTCGCAGGTCTGTGGCGTCTACTATATAGTATGATATGATGGCACGCCTCATTCCCCGGCGCAATGTTTATGGCTGGCATGTGTGTTGTGTACTGTGTATTGTGTGTTTTCCCATGATATTCTTTGTTGTTTTTGTCAGCGTGAATTAAAATCTCTGGTAATTGCGAGAGATTTTTTCGCCAAGAAGAATTCCGAACGCCTTGACAATCAATTATGAGAAATGTCCGATGATCTTTTTGCTTTTGTTTCAGTTTCTATATAGTATGTCTAAGTGCAGGCCACTGCACGGCAAATCCCGCCAAAGTTTTATTAATGGCACGCATTCCTCATTTGCGATTTTTGGTTGTCTATCATCGACATTGATGGAGTGGGTGGAATCTCTCATTTTGTTTGCTGATTGAGATGTTTGCCATGGTCGAACTATTCCGAATATAGCCCCCTGTTTTATTGTTCATTCATCGCTGGCAATTCGCTTTATAAATAAACCCGAAAACAACAAGAACCGTGGGGAGATGAGGGGCAGGCAGGAATCGCATCAATCGCTAGCATCGGAATAAACAGATTCATAAAAGTTTTATGAGTAATTGGCTTTGGAACACAGGCCCAAAATAGAACGCACTCGCTCTCCCGCATAACTGAAATATTTTCCGCTTTATTTAACATTAAATAGCTTGTTTATAATTACACATACAGAGTACTATACTTAAGATGTAAACGAAAGGCCTGGAATAAGTTACACTAAACACTAGGATAACACTAAGCTACTCTAAATATATATATTTTATATATATATTTATATGATACACTTGACTAGGACGAATCACTATAACATAACTGAATGTCGAGATTGAGATCCTTAAAAAATTTGCACAATTTTTTAATTCCACTCAAAGTTGGCCGGACACACTGGACACCACACTGGTGGGGTATATATGGTGGGTATACATTAGGTGGTGTCTACACCATGTTCCATATGCTGTAGCTGGCCGCCCTGCGCTCCTCCTCGGCCACCTGTTCATAGTCGATTTCGAGATACTCCTTGCCCCCGAAACGCACCTTTCGCCCAGTGTACTTCTTGATGTAGCTGACGTGGGCGGGCACCTCCTTGCCCTCGATTTCCAGCTTATACGAAATGCTGGTGATCCTCTCAAGCACTCGACCACGTTTCCAGCGCACCTGCGTCTTGCGATAGCGTTCTGCGTAGAGCACCAGGTCCCCTATTTTGTATTCCCTCACATGCAGGCAGGATTTGAGTGGCGCTTTGATTGGCTCCGGTTCCTGCTCGGGCGCCACAGTGTCCTCCTCGTCGTCCGTCACATAGGCAATGGCCCGCTCAATGGTCTCCACCTCGGGAATGGTGGGCTCCTCGGGCTCCGGCTGCAGGAAGAATGTGTCGCCGATGGAGAGGCGCCGCTTCTGCCGCTTGATGATCACCTTCTTTTTGATCTTGCGCGGTTTCTTGGGCTCCGGCGTGGGTTCAACCTCGGGTTCCTCACTGACTTCCTGATCAGCTTGGTTTTCGGTTGGTACTTCCTCCAAGGGAGCAGCTACTCCCTCTTCTGGCTTAGGATCTGCTGCGGCTGCCTTCTTTTCTGCCTCTTTGTCTGGCTTAGCCTGCTTCTTGGGAGGCGTTAGCTTGTTGATCCTGGAGGACAGCTCATTGATCTTGTTCCTGTCGCGCAGTATGTTGCTCAGCTTGCTGGAGTCCTGCTTGTCCTGCTTCTGCTTCTCCTGCGGATCCTTGTCGATGGAATTCTTTCGCACCAGCTTCTTGAGATGCACAGGTGCCTTTTTCTTGACCAGCGGCTCTGGGTTTTTGGCCACATCATGCTGCTGCTGCTCGACCGTCTCGATTTTGACCGGCTGCACCGGTCCGGCTAGTACTTTCAGCTCCGGCATGCTGGCTAGACTGTCGCCGGGCGGCGCCTGTTCTCCGGCTTTTGTAGCTTCTACTGGCGTTGGTTGCTGCTCTGACGTTAATGATGATGATGACTCTTCGTGATTCAATGTCGCTGTTGCCGCTATTGCCGCTACTGCCGCTATTTGTGGCACAATGTCAGCGGCGATGGCCACTTGTTTGATGGCTTCTTTGGACTCTTTTGGGCCTGGTGTTGCTACTGCTGCTGATGCTGCTGCTGCTGCTGCCGGCACCACCAGCACCGTTTCACCCACCAACTCCGCTAGTTTCAGGCTGGTACGTCTGATTCGATCGCCTGCTGGCGCTAGATTGTTAATTGCCGTATCGGAATCGATTGCTGTTGTCGCTGCTAATGTTCCTGCTTCTGCTGCTGCTGCTGTTGCTGCTACAATTGCTATCGCTTCTCCTTGGCCACTTTTGGCACTAGGCAACTTGGCTGGCACCGCTGTGACCTCTGGCGTAGCCAATTGTTCCTCGGCTATCGAAGTCGTCTCCCTCTGATGGTCGTCAACAGCTTTTGTTGTCGATGATGTTGCTCTTGGGGACTCAGATTCAGCTGTGCATACTAATGTTGCTGCTGTGTCTGTGCCTCTGCCCATTAATTTCAGCTTCTTCTTGCGCTTGACAATCGCCTCCGAGTCGGAGGGTCGTCGCTGAGTGATGAGAGCATCGCTCTGCTCGACGGCCGGCTCCACCTTGATCTTGGATGGTTCCACGGCGGCGATCGAGGCACGTCTAGGGTTCTTCACCTTCACGATGACTTTCTTCTTGATCTTGGACGGTGGTTGAGTTGACTCGGGTGACTCATCTGGCAAGGACACTGATTGTTTGCTTTCGGAAGCATGTTTACTTGGGGCTACTTCTGTAGGTGCTTTGGTTGTTGATTCCTTTGGAGTTTCTTCTTTGGAAGCTATTTTCATAAGAGTTGCTTCCTTAAGGGCTGTTTCTTTGGGACTAGCTTCTTTCAGAGTTGTTTCTTTCGGAGTTGTTTCTTTTGGAGTTGCTTCTTTCGGAGTTGCTTCTTTCGAAGTTGATTCTTTGGAAGAAGTTTCATTGGAAGTGTTCTCCTGGGAAGTTTCCTTAATAGTTTCATTCCAAAGTGTTGTTTCCTTATTAATTTCTTTCCTAGTACTGGTATCCTTCTCAGTTTCTTCCCTAATAGTTGCCTCCTTGGAAGACTCCTCTTGGAGTGTTTTTTCCTTAACAGATTTCGATTTGAATTCACTCTGAACCTTGGCTAGAAACTCAATTTTGGCCTGGGTTTTGTTTTTCGCAGGGTGTTTGATTTGTTCAGCTGTGTTTGGTAGCTCACCATTAATTTTTGGTGTTTCTGAGGCAGCCTCTTCGGTTTTTATATCCTTATGCTCCTTGGTATGGGTTTTAATAGCACGATTCTTAATTTTCTCATCTTGTTTGTCTGCTTCTACAGCGTTTTCAGGAATCTTTAGATTTTTTGATTGCTTACTAGTTATATCCTGCTCTTTAACCAGTTTGGCACCATCCACTTTATCCCGATCTTCAAGCACTTTTGTATCTTGGTTTTTAGTACTTTTAAGATCTTGATTTTCTGTGACCTCTAATTTTTTATTAACCTCAGTTGGCTCAAGTTTTTCATTAATTATTGGTTTTTGGCTTTCATTGCCTGCCTGCTTTTCATTGACTTCGTTTTTCTGACTTTCAGTAACCTCTAGTTTTTCTCTAGCAAAGGGTGTCTGCTCTCTTTGAACTTTGGTATCCTTACTAGTTTTTAGGGCATCCTGCTCATTTTTGTCTTCTCTAGAGGAATCAGTTTTATTTGTTTGATTTTCATGCTCCTGCTCCTCTCCAGCCTGCTCCTTTTCCTCCTCGGCCTCATCGAAGTAGCTGCGACGTCGCACCTTCTTCACAAAGCGAAAGGACACGGGAGGTGGGTCACCTGCTCCTCCATCTGAAGCCACCTGTGACTGCTCCGTCGCCGATTCCGCCTCGCTCTCCGTGCTATACTGCTTGAGCACACCCTTAACTTCGCTAAGGGCTCCGGAAATCCGTGCCTTAAGCTTGTTCAACCGCTCGATCACATCCTCCGGCTTCTCCTCCACGGAATCCTGCGAACGAACACGTCGCTGGCGACGCAAACGCGTCCTTTCGGGCAGCACTGAATCCGCATCGATGGAGGAGAAGATGCTATCGCGACTGCTGATGGAGCTGCGCTTTATTTCCCCCAGCAGAGGGGCACGTGTGGTAGTTGCAGTTGTGGTGGTCGTGGGCACACTTGCCTCCACATTACGTATACGACTGGTGGCACTGCTACTTAACCTGCTAACTGGCGACTCCGTTTGCGGACTTCTACTGCTACTCCTGGCACTCTTCAATTCGTACTTCATGTCGTTGGTTGCTAATGGTGATGCTTCTATATGGCCACTATTATTGTTTTTATCATCCAATTCCGACGGCTGATCGAGTTGCTCGGGATAAACCTCAACCGATTCTGTCTCCCGCTCCTCGCTGACTTTGCTCACGGTCATGTCCGCTCCGACGACGGCCGCCTCGCTCCAAAGGTTACCCGTATCCGCTTGTCCACAAATGAGTTCGATGCTTTGAGTCAATAGGTCAAGCAGCTCCCAGTCCCAATCCCAATCCCAATTGAGCTGTAATCGCGGCGATGAGTACTCGGCGAGAAAGGCGCGCACGGAACTCTTTAGTAATTCTATATTTGGCAGGGTTCGATTCGGTGGCGGAATTGCGGTCCGCTCGCGGGTCAGTTGCCGTCCGAGTTGTACGTCCACTTGCTCTGGCGACGATTCGCGGGCGTCTGAGAGATCGCCGGACTGCTGGTGGTTGCTATTTCGATTCTGGTACTGATTCCCATCAACTTGTATTGTCTGCTCCCTGGCCAAACATATTGACTGCTGCTGCTCGCCGCCGCCGCCGCGATCTCTCATATTTGCCTCATTATGATCATCTTCGGCGGCCTTCTCTAATTTGCTTTGCTCACATATTTCGCTATTTCGGCGTTTATTTTTGGCCCCATCCATGGCGTCGTCGTTTTTGTGGTCGTGTCGCCTTTGGCCGAAGGCGTCATTAAGATTTTCCGCCTGTTGATGCTCGATTTCCCTTGCCACGTTCAAGTTTAATGCTTCTACCGCATGTACGCCCTCGAGTTCATTATCAACCGTCGGTAGTAGCAGCACCACCGCCTTATGTACACCATCTTCTATTTTGGTGACTTTGCCGAGACCCGGTAGCTGCGTCATTGTTGTTGTTGTGGCTGCGGTGGGCGGGTGATATTCCGGCCCATCTTGAGAAAGCATTGCTCGATAATTGGGAAAGCTAACAAATTGTTTTTTAATTATGGGAAATTCCTGGGGAGCCTGCTCGACGGGTGAGCTGGTGGCCACCTGCCCACGACGGGTCATAGTGGTGCTGATTTCTGGGAACGAGCCATCGGAATATTTTCGCGGCAATTGTAGCAGTTGGGGAAAGTTTAGCTGCCACGGGGCGTATACTTGTTGTAGGGGAAAGCTTGCTTTGTAGGGGGCGTATACTTGATGTGGTGTATTTAGTAGTGTTTCAGTTAAGACTTCTTCCTGGTAAATATATAAAGGAAACCCCTCGTTAAGCCTTAAATTTAGATGCATGGGAAATTTTCCTGCCCTCAAAGGTTGCATATGCGACTGACATATTGCCATGCTTCTATGCTGCAGCGAGTGATTCATCGCAGAGAAGCTGCCGCGCCAAGTGCTGCCTTGGCCAACCGGAAATTGCCCTGCCATTCCGAGTACTTCCGGCGCCGCTTTCGGTACACAACAAAACATGGCTGACTCAGTGCCCTGATTTACGATGCCATCAACAACAAGCCGCTGCGAATTATGATTATTATTAGCTGCTGCCTGCGACATTGATGTCGTACGATTCTCCTCTTCTTTTCTCGTCTGCAATTCCGATCCCGATCCCGCCTGCCAATCCCCCTGCTGCCTGGCTGTCATCATCTTGTGGGCGTGGCCGTGGGACTTCTGTTGTTGACCTATTCTCGTGGTCAACACGCGACCAAATCGGGCTTATATTTTCGATCGACACACTCGACTATGTTTCACTCAACGCGTTGCAAGCGAAACTGGCGCAATCCGTCGGCGGGAGCACCACCGAGATACAAGATCCGTCTAGCCGAGATCCACCACCAATCCGTTCCCTTTGGCTGCGCCTCGCTGGCAACCATCCGATCATTGATCAGTCAGCAATCTATGTAATTGCAAATGAATTGTGTAGTGTCCGAGGTGCAACGACCACGAAGTGTTGATGCCCTGCAGCTGGATTGTAAATCCAGGGTAATTGTGTAAATATAGGCCCAATAAAACAGCTCTATTTAAAATAACAAAAAATAAAATCTTTCACATATTAAATAAAATGTTGTTGAATTCGCAAACTGTTCATTCACTTAAATAAAAATAGGGCATTGAAACTTATTTTGTTTACATTTTTTGTATCTAAAAGTACTATAAACAAATGTTTTTTAAAATATGTTTAATATTGGAGAAATTATGCTGTTCTTTGCAAATTACTAAAGGAAAACAACTCTGTTGAAAACAATACTATGTTTACATATTGAATAATCAAAACAATCATCAAAATGTCTTGTTTTTTTGTTTTTTATGAACACTTTAAAATGTTTATAACGTTGCTAATGTAGATTTTATAAAAAAAATTGAATAAATCATAACAAAAATTATTTTTAAATCTGCCAGTGGTGTGTCCAATTCAATAGCATGTCCATAAAGTTAGCCAATCATGTTTTATTTTAAATAAATCAAAAAAAACTTTGTGAATTGACCTTTGAAACTTATTTTGTTTGCATTTTGAATATCTTAAGAGTAGAGTTTATTTTAAAGTATTTTATAAAAGGTTTTAATAAATATATATTTTTTTCGAAAGAATGAATGAAATACACTCCAAATTTAGTTTACACGATAGACATTTTATAAAATATTTTTTGTGTGAAAAACCCTTTAAATTAATTCAAAAATTCAGTGTATCATTGGGTAGTACCCCCTTCGATTATCTGCAGGGCATGATCATTGGTGATAGATCTCTAAAGACAATAGAAAGCATGTTCAGGAGAGGTTGCGCGTGTTTCGGATGCCACGCAGACCGAGAAGATCGCTCTCGTAGACGTCTTATATATATATATATATATATATAAGTACATAGTGGCCACTATATAGACTGAATAAATATGTCAGCTTGCCAAATTGCTTTTTTGCAGGCCACAAAAAAAGAACGATAGGCAGAGAGACTGAATAAAAATCAGCTCACGTCGCCCACCGCCGCCAATGCTATTGTTTAAATAGACCAAAGAGTTCTGGGCGACAGGGGGAGAAATACTGGGTGTCCCTTAAAATAAACATTCTAATCTAATCAAACTGGTTCTCTTTACAGCCGCTGTGTGTCCTATCACGGACGACCGCCCAGCTCCTCGCCAGCCACGGGCAACAAGGTGCAGCACTACAAGGAGTACAAAGCCATCATCAAAAGCATCTTTGGTGAGCTGACGCCGGAAAACAAGGCGCGTTTGGAGGCGATAATCAAGGAGCAGCAGGATAAGGCCAAGGCGGATTCTGCTCCTCCAGCCAAGAGTGGCTCATCGCCGCCAGCAAAGAAAGGTACTTCAGACAAAAAGAGATCGGGTTCGGTTCCAGCACCAGCTGCTGAACCTACAGCTGCAGCAGCTGAAATTCCATCGATGAAGGAGCCTCCAAGTAAAAATCCACGTTCTCCAGCCAAACGTGGCACATCACCATCCTACAAAGGGGAAACTTCTATAAAAAAAAGATCAGGTTCGGCTCCAGTACCATCCACGGCTCCATCTCCGTCTCCCAAAGCTCAAGCCGACCGAAGTCCTTCGAATACTACGGCTTCTAGACCGCACTTTGTCAAACGCAAGCCTGCACAGGAACCAGCAAGTAAGAGAAAGACCCAGAAGACACCCGAGGAGGAGGAACCCGAGCCAACGACACCGCAGGCCTGAGTAATATTAAGATCCTAAGTCCAAAATCTTCGTTTACACATTAAACGAGAGCCCATAATTACAGAAAGAGTATGAATATAAAACTTTACTTGTAATATCAACAACTTGCGGAGGTCACAACTCCCCCATCGTCCAGGTGTCCCTAGTACTTCCAAAAGTTTGGGTTCTGTTCCATACGTCGCTGGAAATTCGTATACCAATTCTGGACAACGGAGAAAGGTACGAAAGTCTCGTTCGAGGCAGGCGAGATGTCTCTGGCTGAAACTCCGAAACTGGAGGCGTAGTTGAAGAAGTTCTCCAGCATTCGCTGACCAAATTGCTTGTTGTCGTTGGCAGTGGACTGCAATGTAGGAGGAAGGTAGAAATTTATTCTATTACTGAACTAAAGAAAAGTGAAATTTTTAAATCAACTTGTCCAGGTCTAAGACCCCATAGAGATGCTACTGCTTATCTTCCTTCTGAACAGAACTTACCACCGCTGGCGTCTGCTGAGCTACCGTTAGCTCCGGTTCGAGGGACACTCCGATTTGGGCGATGTGCGAGATCTCCTGGCTGCCAAAGACCATTCCGTGGGCATGAGCCTCCAGCTCGTGACTTTTCTTTAGCTGGGCGATCTTGAAGATGGCGGAGGGCTTGTTGTTGTTTATGTGTCCCAGATACTGCCATGTGGGCGCCGCGTTCGCGTCCGGCCAGCTGAAGTATATCGCAGCGGAGGTTCCGATGGGCAGTGGTGATACGCCGGTGAGGAATACTACCAGGTAGTTGACGGACTCGATGTCGGGCACATTGACCAGCAGCTTGGTGGTGTCCACGGCCACAAAATCCGATTGCGGCAGGCGTCCAGAGATAATCAAACCAAACAGCGACATCTTTGAGCGTGTGGACTGTTCCAGAATTCAGATATGCCAGTTTTGTAGGCGGCACTGATAAAATTGAGCTGCTCAAGGTGAACTAGTTCTTTTGGTGGTTTTATTTTACTTTTGAGAGTGAGTCACCTCCAAAAAATTATGGTTATAATAAATCCCTTATTTGGAACCAAATATTTTTTTTTTGAATAAAGAAGTTTTATTAATAAAGTAGTTGTGATTTCATAATACAATAAGTGTAAATGTTATATGTTGATTGGTCAACATTTTATTTTATGCCAAACAATTCAATATGGTTAAAAACATTATCATCAATAAATACAAGTATATTGAATATGTGGACCAAAAAATATTCCCAAGCAATTCTTATTTCAATTGTGTGTACTTATCACAACAAAATAAATGTTGCCAAATATGATTATTTTTTATTTATGCTTACAATAAATATAATTATCGAATATGTTGACTTTTTAGTAATATGTTCATTTTTTATCAACCAATGAAGAGGAACTGGTTCCATTGGCCAATACCTGAGTAGCCATTCACAACGAGACGGCAATAATAAACAGCTGACGCTGATGTGCGACGTTGCCCAACACTGCCCATGCAGATATCGTCGCAAAAACACAGGGACGGTGCAAAAGAAGAGGGATTTTATTTTGATTTCGTCTAGCAATTAAGTAATGGCCGGACTCCTTCACCTGACCAAGCATTGCAGCATCCATTTACCCGCTCACCTGGGACGCGCGAAATGCTACACGCTCGCCAAGGGAACACACGTGCAGGCCAGAGTGGTGAGTACTCCTGCGACCGGGTCTAGAGACCTATTTCAAGGCCACAAGCGAGACTATCTAGACTAGATTACGATTTCGTAATTAGGCGTTAAATACGCAATGAATTGGCGATTTAAATGCGTGGAAATTACCAGCAATAAGTGGGGCGGAGCAGTCTGCGTGTGCGTTGTTTTGGTCCTTTTCCCCATTTACCTAAGATTAATTTCAACCTAATGCTTGGCTTATTTCGTTGCAGCAAGCATAGAGATATAGATATATAGACCAAAACAGCGCACACACAGACTAGAAGGATTCACGGGGATCGGGAATAATGGGTCGAACTCAGCGCCTAAGGCTTCAGAGGGCCCAGCAGAAACCAGCAGAGGATTCCACCAACTCCCTACAGAATCTCTACGTTCACCTACACTCCCTCGGCTGGCGAAACCACACTCATCTTTCCGCAAAGAACTATCCAGAGACTGGCAGAGGATTGTGCTCGAAACAGGACACCTTCTCGCCAGAGGACGAGCTCATACGTCTGCCAGTTGGTTGCCTTATAACCATAGCTACCCTGGAATCGGATAAGGAATTCAAAAGTCTCTTCAACAAAGACCTATTCGACAAGAATGTCAGGATTTCGTTTCAAGCCTTGGTAGCCTGTTACCTCATGTACCACAAGCACCTGCATGATTGCTCTCAAACCTCTGGTTACGCTGCATATTTGGACACCTTGCCTAGAAGCTACTCCACTCCCTATTTCTGTGCCATACCCGAACTGCAGTGTCTGCCAGAATCCCTGCTAGAGCGAACTGTGGCTCAGAACCGTCAAATACGGGGATATTACGAAATAATCAAGAATCTGGTGGGTTTCCTTAACTGCGATAGCTGTGGGAAGAACTATGGCCAGGAGATATGGACGCTAGCCGAATACAAATGGGCATACTTCAGCGTAAACACCAGAAGCGTTTACCTCATTTCCCGGTTTCTGAAAAAGCAGAGCAATCACTTTCAGGCTCTAATCAGTGGCGACACCAATATGGCATTGGCTCCGTTCCTGGACCTCTTCAACCACTCCGATGGTGTGGAAACCACGGCAGAGATTCACGGCCAAGATTACGTGCTGACATTGAAATCCTTGCCTCATGTCAAAACCAAAACCTATGAACAATTGTTCATCAGCTACGGTGCTCTGCCCAACTTTAAGCTTTTAACGGAGTATGGTTTTTGGTTGAAAGAAAATAAGCATGATTATTTTGATTTCTCTCTGCTGGACATTGAGCACATGGTTAAGCATAACAAGGAGTTAGCCTCGCAGACTTTCCACCGAAACATCTTCAAGTTCATTAGGGAGCATAATCTGAACGATCAGATGTTCGTGCACATCGACGATGGCTGTTCGCACAATTTAAGGGTAGTGCTGCACCTCATCTTCAAGCAGCAGGCCTACTACCCCAACATACTCAACCAAATTGCCTTCGGTGACGTCGAACAGTTCGAGGATGTGCAGCCGGAGCTGTCCTATCTGGTGGCCTACAAAATAAAGGAGTACGAGATCTTTGTGGGAGAGCTGGATAAGCTTCCAAAGCTGACGGAGAGTGGATCGGTGGCACGGTCTTACCTGCAGGAGTGCATTCGTTACCTGGCTAAATTTCAAGTGACGCATCCAGCAGAATAGAAGTAATCTATATTGAGCTTAGATTTTCAGTAAATACAAAGCATTTTCTCTATTTTTGATATTTCAGTTTAAAATTAATTCTAATACATTTTAAAAGCCTTACAATTGAAGAAATAAAGTTAAATGATGTTTTCTATGTTGAGCTTAGATTTAAAATCAGTATAAAGCATTTTATATTATTGATATTTCAAGGATCGTTAAAATAAAAATAAGAGTTTGAGCACAAATCTTTGTAGATAATTTTAGGGCATTTATAAAAGGTTTTATTTTTCTGAAATATTCTGTAAGTCATCTATTGGAAAACCGCAAACACCAGAATAAAATTATTCTTTATTTTTCATATTTCAGGGATCGTTAATATACAAATAATAACATTTTTAATTACATAAAATTCAAGAAAACAGTTAAATTTATAAAATGTTCCTTAAGACATTAAATTTAGAAGCCCAACAAACTTTGTTTATTTTTTTAATAAATCCCAGAAAATAATAATCAAAAATTGTTTATTAATTCTAACTATAATTATGACCTTTCAGCTGTACTCTTCGCTGGCCAAGGTTGATGATCAGGGTAGCGGCGATGTCAAGCGGAAGAAGATAACCCCTTTTACGCCCACGCCGGGCAGTAAATTGCTGGGTGGCGTGTTCGGGAAGAAGGCCAAAGGTAGGTTCCCAAGGAAAGGTCCATTAACCAATGCCGGACTTCCCGTAATTAACAGAGCACTCCTGCTGATCGGCAGGTTTTTATTGTATTGTTTAGTACTAGCCACTCACGCTTTTTTCTATTGACTAACCCAAAATTGATTTTGTTTTGTGGACCGAGTACCGAGTTTTGTTATCCAAGTCGGCCAATGCCCGTTCGTTTGTTTGTTTGTTTGTGCGCTTGTTGTGTTGAGCGCCTGTCTCTGAATTTTGCTGCAACCAAGTGAATTCAATGCAGGTGGAGCCCCAGCAGCAGCGGCAGCAAAAACAACAAAGCTACAGCGGCAGCGACTTTACCGCCCACAACAACAGCAATCACGACAATGTCATGTTCATATAGGCGGCGGCAGCGATGGTGGCTCGGGATTAGGCAAGCTGGACGCACCGGAGGTCACCTCCAAGGACATGCTGCGCGCCATGATGGCCTACATCTGGCCCAAGGAGGATCCACTAGTGCGGAAGCGGTGAGTCAATTTGATTAACAAACCCTATGCTTAAAATTTAAATTAAATTAAATAAAAATTTTAGATTCCACTATTATACTGTTCTTAACAGAATGTGGATATTTTATTTGTAATAAAAGACTCTTAAAGTATTTAGTGTTTTAGACATATTTTTAAGTTATTTTATAAGTTTGAAAAAATTGTGTACAAAACATACAAACAATCGATAACTATTTAATTTTTTGTTTTTTACGTCATTTTAACTTTTAAAAAAGAAAGATTTTAGTCAATTTAAATGGCAATGCTCGAAATTCGCGGTAATTTTGTTTGTTTCCTATAGATTTTTAAAAGTCATTTTATTTGGCAGTAAAAAAAGGCAACAAAAGGTCTAATTATCAAAAGAACTCGCGTATGATAGCTAAGGTACCAATATTTATTTTTTAAGCAGCCTGCGTTTTAGAATAATGCATGAGTATGTTAAAGACATAACAAGCACAAGTGGAATAGTATATTGTTTGTTTAGAAGTTTCATGGTTGAAACATATACATAATTATATGTAATGCATTACAAAGCCAGGTTTTAATTATTTAATAATTTCCGTAATTGACAGAGTGGGCATTTCTTTGGGTCTATTGGCTGGCTCCAAACTGCTGACCGTCTGCGTGCCCTTCCTGTTCAAAGGAGCCGTGGACACGATGACAACGCTGAACATGGACACCGCCCCGGATGCAGTGCTCTCCGCAGCCACAGCCATGATGTTAGGATGTAAGTCTACTCTCTGACTTGAGTTTCTAAATATTAACCAAATGATGCCTTTAGATGGCATTGCTAGAGCCAGTGCAGCGGGATTCAACGAGCTGCGAAATGCGGTGTTTGCCAAGGTGGCCCATCATTCGATCAGAAAGATCGCCAGCAATGTGTTTCTTCATTTGCACAATTTGGACCTTGCCTTCCACCTGAACAAGCAGACGGGAGCTCTGTCGAAGACCATTGATCGGGGATCGAGGGGCATTAACTTTGTGCTTTCCGCCATGGTGTTCAACATTGTGCCCACAATCTTCGAGCTGGCTTTGGTGTCCAGCATCCTGGGAGTGAAGTGTGGCCTGGCCTTCGCCGGTGTGAGCATGGGTTGCGTGGGCATATATGCCGCCTACACCCTCAGTGTGACCCAATGGCGCACCCAATTCCGCGTGTACATGAACCAGGCGGAGAACGAGGCCGGGAACAAGGCCGTGGATTCGCTGATCAACTACGAGACGGTCAAGTATTTCAACAACGAAAAGTACGAGGCTGGCTGCTACAACGAGGTGCTGAAAAAGTACGAAACGGCTAGCCTGAAGACGAGCTCCAGCTTAGCCTTGCTGAACTTCGGGCAGAATGCCATTTTCAGCAGTGCCCTTAGTCTGATCATGGTGCTGGCCGCCAAGGAGATTGCCCAGGGCAACATGACGGTGGGTGACTTGGTGATGGTGAATGCCCTGCTCTTCCAGCTCTCCATACCCCTTGGATTCCTGGGCAGTGTGTACCGCGAGGTGCGTCAGGCTCTGCTCGATATGCAGGCCATGTTTACGCTGATGAATGTGGATAGCAGTATACAGACGGCATCGAATGCACAGCCTCTGTTCGTGGACACCAGCAACTCGTCCATCGAGTTCCGCAACGTGAGCTTCGAGTATGAACCGGGCAAGCCCATTTTCCGGGACCTCTCCTTCACCATTCCCGCCGGCAAGAATGTGGCCATTGTGGGCGGCTCTGGCTCAGGGAAATCCTCCATGGTGCGCCTGCTCTTCCGCTTCTTTGAGCCCAACTCGGGTAAAGTGTTGATCGGCGGGCAGGATATCAGCGCCGTGGATTTGGATAGTCTTCGCAAGGTTATTGCCGTTGTGCCGCAGGATTCGGTACTGTTCCACAACACAATAGAGCACAATATCCACTATGGCAATCTGAGCAAGTCGCATGCGGAGGTGGAGAACGCAGCCCGGATGGCGGATTTGCATGACTCCATCATGAGCTGGCCGGCACAGTACTCCACTCAGGTGGGCGAGCGAGGATTGAAGCTATCGGGCGGCGAGAAGCAGCGCGTGGCCATCGCCAGGGCCATATTAAAGAACACACCCATCCTGATCTTCGACGAGGCAACCAGCAGTCTGGACTCCATCACAGAGCATGTGAGTTTGTGGTGCCGAAAACTGGATCTATAAACTGACTAATGTTGTCTTCATTTTACAGAACATTCTGCAGGCTTTGACCCGTGCCACAACCGGACGCACTAGCATTTGCATTGCCCACCGCCTTTCCACGGTCAAGGATGCGGATGAGATCCTGGTCCTGGAGAATGGCCGCGTGGGCGAACGTGGCACCCATACGGAGCTGCTAAGGCAAAATGGGTTATATGCCCGCCTCTGGGAAACGCAGACCCAGCAGTTTGACCCCAGTCGGGAAATCAAGGAGGAACAGTCACGGGGCGTGGCGTAGACGAGGCTTGTACCCTATCTATGTGTTTGTTCCAATGTTATAACGCCCCTCCCCTTCGTTTGGCCCTCCCTAAGACCCACTAAATTCACCGTAGAATCCTCCCTCCTCCGGAGATTCGCTATTCATAGGTTTAAAGTATCATTGTGACCCTTGTAAATACAGTTGTAGATATGCGATAAGAGAAATGGCAGGGGATGTAGTACAATATGGAACATTTATTATCAGTTTTATCACCCATACATTCGGTTATATCGCTCTGTTTCGTTTTTCACGGTTTAGGTATTCGATTGGTAGTATTTATTTTCTGATTTCCACATATTTGAGCAATATATTTTGTCCCAACTCTGTTAGATTATTAAATGCAATTCTGTATAGATTTATGCTTGAGAAGCGGAATATGGATTTACATTTCATGTAAATTTTAAAATTCACACAAAGACATTCCTTGAGTAAACCAAATTATGAGGTTTCAAAAGAGATTTCCACATTTTCGACCAGCTTATTTAGCAATAAATACATTTTGTCACAACTTTGTTAGATTATTAATTGAAAACAATACTGGAAACATTTATGATCGGACAATACTGGAAACATTTATGATCGGAAAACTGGGGTTTGGGTATTTTAAATCGCTTACATTTTATGTAAATTGTAAAGTTCACACAAACATGGTCCATAAGATGACTTTTTAAAGATTTATATAGAAAATGTTCTTAAACTATACAGCTTCCGTTTAGTTTACTTTCAAAATGATTAGTCATCTTAAAAATCGTTCATTTAGTGTACTTTGAAAATGATTAAATATCTTAAAGATTTTTGTTTTATCTGTATAGAAAATGTTTCTAAAATATACATCTTCAATCTAAAGCACTTTCAAAATGATTTGTCTTTGGAAGATATAGTACTAAATACTGCGTTTTGCTAATAAAAGTAAAATCACACCCTATAGTTTTGATTCAAAATGGAAAATAAGGACCCAGTGAAAATCGAAACAGTTGCGATAGTAGCCTAAGCCCTCACATTCAATCTCAATCTCTCTCCCGCGCTGCCAGCGGAATGGGTACTCCGTAGATCAAGTACAGCAGACAGTTGCCAATGTGGCCCAGAAACTGTTGGTAGTTGGTCACTCGATGCTGGAACTCCTGCCACAGTGGCAGTATGGAACGCTTCTCCGTTTCCTCCAGCTTATCGGCATCTATCGTGATGCCCTGCTCCAGCATCGTTTTGTTTGTATACGTAAAAAGATAGGAGGCTGGTTTCTGCCCAATGGTGGTCACCAAATGGGTGATGTTGCTCTCGAGGCCGATGCTCTTGCCGGCGGTCAGGAAGTAGGGCTCCAGATCCCTTTCGTTCCTGTACCGCACATTGCCCTCCAGGATGGTTAAAGTGCAATTGATGAGGTCCGGTGAGATAAAGTTCGTAAGCGTAAGTCCGGGGAAATCAGCCACAAAGATCACGTCGGAGTAGTTGTTCCAGGCCAGCACCTCTGTCTCAATGGTTCGCAGCTTGGGACGCATATGGTTCAACTCATTGAGCAGCGGCAGTGACCAGGAGGTGCTCTCAAAGGGTGACCACTTGGCCCGGAGCAGATCCACACGCGGATCGAAGGAGCGCTGCTGGAAGCGACCGTTCATGGAGCACCAGATGTCAAAGTAGATGGAGATGTTCTTGGCCATCTCTGGTTGAGACACCCGGATATTTTCCTCTATGCATCTGGCATACTGCACAGCCATGTCAGCGTACTTTGTCCAACGATCGTATTCCGTGAAAGCATACGGATTTAAGTTGTGCACCCGGCCGCTCTCATTCTCCACCACCTGGATTGAGGTCTGCAGCGTATCGTACGAGTGCACCATCATGTCCCAGGAGTAGCCGTACAGGCCATTCGTCCAGTTGTTATAGCCCTTGGTGATGAAGTGCGAGTAGGGCAGGAAGAGCTGCAGTCCACAGTAGCCGAGGATAAGGCAAGTGCGAACTCTGGCCAGGATTCCCATCTTGGGCACCTCCTTCGACGCATCTGGTGGTTGAGGAAGCGATGTCTTTGGCCCACCACTTATCCTCCTGGGCCAGTCGGAGCTGAAGAAAAGCGGCACTTCCGCCAGACACACCCAGGGAAACATGCCTGTTGGGTAAGTTCAGTTGGTTATTGATTTTTAGCTATGCCTATATAGATATAATAGATATTGACTTGTGAAAATGGTTATTGGTTATGCAATTTGAAATTTATTTCCTTTGATAAATCTATAATTGTTTTAAACTATTGTATAAAAGAACCAATGACAATGATTTACTAAATTAAATGTTCCTAGAAAATCCGTATAAATTATATTTACCGGCGGATTCTTGAATTCAATACCTTGTTGGCTATGGTATATATGGTACCATAAAAAAAAATCGTAAATCGTAAAAAAAAATGCACCGAAAAACCAAACTTTCAACTCTGCATTAATTTGGTAGTAGGCTGAGGAAAATAACAAGAGGAATGATTTAGGATATATACAATTCTTAGGATAGTAAACACAATAAAAGACACTTTCAAAGGGTGTTAAACTTCTCCTTAATAACTCACCTATAACAAACAGTCGAGAGTTCATTAGATGAAAGCTGAGCATGAAAGGAGTGACCAGAAGGCGCGTCTTCTCAATGGTCATGAAGAAGGCGATGGACAGGTCAAAAAAGGCGGTGAACCAGTGCACAATTAGAAGGTCAATCAGATCGGGATCAATCACTTGGCGGAATGGAGCGAAGACCCAGTGATGGCTGAGATTGGACATCGCATAACCCGATAGCCACTCTAGAGAGAACTTTTTAAGACCAGCATACATGTACAGCACAAAAAATTGAAATTTGATAATAAAGTAGTTCCAATAGGGAATACAGCGACTTCTCCGGGGATATAGCCAATTGTCCAGCGAGCTGAAAGTTAGAAAATAAATATATTTAATATAATGATTAATTCAAGTTCTCTGTGGGTAGAAAGCATACAAAATTTTATGATCATTTAGTTTTATATCATGCTTACCAGTAGCATTGCGCCTGGGTGAAGAACAGCAATATTCCCACCAGACCGAACAGATAGCTGTGGTTGTTCCACGTCGGCTTGTCCAGCAGGAAGATGTACCAATAGGGCACCAGGAAGGCCAGGCAGCTGATCCTGAATCGATAGCCCAGCATAATGCCCCAAGCACCCAGCCACATGCACAGGTAGACACAACCCATCAGCGGATAGGCCAATGCCCGCATCCCATTAAAAAGTGGGAAATGGCAGTGCAGTGGTTCTCCAAACCGCACATCCATCTGCCCACCGCCACGTTCCTCTGCGATGTCAATCAGCATGGCTGCGCCATAGAGCAACCGGAAGATTCCCAAGGCGGATCCATCCACGGGTCTCTGTAGCCAGCTAGCAAAGTGGGACAAACTGGAGAAGTTGCTCAGCTCATGACCTAGGCAATCTCTAAAAAAGTAACTCAGGAGGGAGGAGTGTTTAGTTGAATCATCTTCTGTGGGAGGTTTCACTGCTGTGCTGGGAATATCTTTTTCCGCATTGGAAATCTCTGTGGCACTAGATATCGTAGGCATATTTCGTTTGGAGTTGGCCATTGTACTTATCCTGAAAATAATTTTTACGAACATATTCCCATTTAATATAATGATTATTTCAACACATTTGTGGCAAGTTATAGTTTTATATGATTATTTACATATAAAATTGGAAAATGTAAGGGTTTTTTATTATTTATCTTCGAAAGACTTTAGAAGAACTCAAACTAAATTCAAATATTTTCAATCCTCATTCAATCATATAGTTTACAAAACGCAAATATCAATACCTTTTTTTTTTTTATATATATTCTATAATTAAAGTGATAAGAAGGTTGGAATTTAATAATTATTTTCATATGGAAGACTTTAGAACTCGACTTTAAGCTCAACTTAAACTCACAAACATTAAAATATAGTTTCCAAAACCAAAAAAAAAAAATCCACTCTTTGGCATTTAATTTTTTTGTAGAATTTATTGAAAAAGGTTGACATAAATACATGCATGCATATTGTTGTATACTAAATATATAATATATGTGTTTTACATTTCGTTTGCTGACTCTTGCGTAAATATCTACGGTTCTGTTCGGATCGCCGGCTTGTGGAGCCCACGGAAAATATTGCTGTCGGATTGGTGTAAAAAAATAGATCAATTACGAAATGTACATGTACATACATCCATTATACTCGGTCATTGAGTTATTATTGCAACGGATTTGCCCAGCTTCGTTTTGTTTCTTTCGTTTAGTTTCGAATCCTGTCCGTGTGTGGAACGTGTTGAGTGGTAAACTGCCATTGGGGTTACCCACACCCATGTCATAAGGCATAAGAGTAGTACCCCCTTAGTCGAAAACGCAAATACAAATACAAATACATATACTTTCGATCTGAATTTGAATGGGTCTAGCTGCTGACCAGTGTCCTGTGCAGTGGTTCGCAAAATGTCCAAACGTTTTTGGGAACAGGAACAAGCTTTGAAAATGCCTCAAACTACATACATATACGAATACAATATAAGCCGTCGTCTGCTTGAATATACGTTTTGATATTGGTTACGGTTAAGTACTTAATGTGATAGGTAATCGCACACGCGTCGTAATAAAATTTCTATCGATTTGGTTTAAAAGTATAACGATCTGGGCTCGAAGTTCCCAGGAAATGAGTTTAGAAAATCAAAAAAGGGAATCTCAGTGCCTGTTTAGTAAATGGTTTAAATACGCGCCTGAATAATCGTTTTTTCGGTGTGTGTGTTGGAGTGTGTGTCTTTTTTAAGTACGTTTAGCTTGGATTTCTCTTAGGTTTCTCGTTTGGTTTTCGGTTTTTTACTTTAATTTAAGTACGACAGTTATGCATAAATGACTAATATTTTTGCTTCACATCTATTTTATTTGTGAGTTTTTGCCATTAAAATACTTTTTGGTTTCTTTATCGATTTCATTTTCGTTATTTACGCAACGCTAAAACATTTTAAAATGCATTTTCAAAGTTAATTCAATAAATATTCTTGTTTGTTTTCCATTATATAGGTTCTGTAAGCTTTTAAAGATCTAGACAATGTTTTCTCGAGTGTCGAAAATTAGCATACAAATGGGGGTGGGGGGCACAAAGTTGCTCCTCCTCCTCCTCCGCCTGCTGCAGCTCCATCATCGCCCCAAAGGAAAGTTTAGTGGCAGTCGCCGGATAGCAACCCCTTGATGCAGTTCCTCCTCCTCCTCCTGCTTCTGCTTCTATTCGTTTATCCTCTCCCTGCGCAGGCGCACTCCTCTCCTTTGGGTTTTTCCTCTCCAGCTGCTGCTCCTGCTGCTCCAGCACCTCCTTTTCCTCTTACTGCTTCACCCTCGCCCGGTCACCGCTATCCCGGCCGCCGGGCCCGTCCCTCTAGAGGCGGTTCTGGTTCAGCTGGGAGCGCGGAGTGAAGGGGCTGACCATCACGCCGCTGGGCCAGATGGCCTCGTTGAAGAGCTCGTTGAAGCGGTAGTCCGGTATGGAGATCTTGAACTTGCAGTACGACAACTGCGACAGGTTGGCATCGTTCTTCACCAGCTTGGTGCACTTCACCAGGTTCTTGTTGATCTTCAGCTCCTCGGCCAGATGATCGATCACATCCTCCTCGCTGGTGTTGGTGGCAAACTTGCCCACCTGCACCCATCTGCCGTAGTCGCAGACCACCTGCAATCGATCCGAATTGCAGTTGTTTCCGACCACAATCAGGTTGTTCTGCTGCGGATGCTTCTTGCTATCCAGTCCGCCGCCCAGACCGCCAGCACCAGCCACTCCGCCGGCGGCGGCGGCAGCGCCCAGCGCCTGGAGCGGCTGATTGCCGAACTGGAAGTACTGCTGGTACATCCGGCCCTGGATCTGGTTGACCCCGTTGCACACCTTGTTGACCTTCTCCTCGATGGTGTGCAACTTGGCGGCAAAGGCGCGCGGCGATTGATTCTTGCACTCGTCGCAGTGGAACGATATCATCGGGTTCTTTTGGATCGCCTCGAAGACGGCATCGTCGATGTTGACGCACGTGCGGTGGAACCTCCTCCGGCAGTCCTCGCCACTGCATCCGATGCTTGTGGCGGCCGCCTCCTTGGCGGCGATCGATTTTTTGCACTTCGGGCAGTTGTTGTTGTCGGCCATGATTAGCTAGTGACTCTGATTCTGATTTCAAATCCAAATCAGGATTCTCAAAGCTAATTTATTTATTTTTTTTAAACTTGACGTGTGAGCCGCAGACGGAAAGAGAATTCGATTCGAACTTCCAGGAAAAACACACACACACAGTGGAGTCACAGTCACAGCAGTATACAGTATATACACGAAACACGGCGCAGCAACAATAACAATGCGAGAAATTCGAGCGAAAGTCGTCGCCTCCTCTCTCTCCGCTCCACCCTCTATTTTTCCAGTTAGTTACTGTCTGTGTGTGTGTGCGGGAACGGGAAGAGTGCTGAAATCGGGAAAGAGAAAAATCGCAGGCGACCGAAAACTTGACAACCGTACGCTCCGAAATTTGCAGAGTGACTGTGCTGTTCTCTGCTGCTGGTTACGTTCCGATTCGGATTCGGAATCGGAATACGAACACAACCCCCGAGAAATTAAAGCTGCCACGTCAGGGGTTGTTTTAACCACTTTTTCGCCATATGATTGACTTGACAACCAGTATTTACCCTCCCTATCCTGACTGCACTGGGGCCCATATGGACGACATATTAAGTCGCGTAGTGTTGGAAAGCGATGAGGGGTAAGTTTAAAAAGGATATTTAAAACCTTTACGGTTCATTTTTCTTAAAAAAATAAAAAAGAAAACTGCTAGAGTAGAAAATTATATTATTAAAATGTTTTCGATTTGCCTGTTTTAAAAAAAACTCTAATTTAAAACAATTTTTAATAATTTATTTTAAAAATAGTATAATTTTGTGTGATATGTTTAAAATGTATCTATCGGCAGATTTGTTATGAATAAAAACGATTGGCTTAACGATTATTTTAGAATATAAAGTCTATTATATTTATAAATTGCAATTTTAGGAATGAGCGTTAAAAAAAGTTTAAAATTACGAAATACTGCCACAATTTTGAATAACAATATGTTGGCTTCAAACAATATGTTTAAACTTTACCCTCTTAAAGTTCAGTTTCAGTTTTTGTATTGAAATTGTCAAGATTTATCATATAAACTTATATTTGATAATGTTTAATAAATTTTCTATCATAAAAAAACCTTTTTTTTGCTGTAGTTTAGACTTTTCTTTTAGTTTGTTTAAATAAAACACAACAAACACGACACCTGCAAGTTTTTAAAAGATTGTTTATTTGCGATATTTTTGATGATTAACTTTTTACATTGCAAATTTACGTTAAAAACAATGCAACTTTCTAAATTAGACTTTAAACTTATGGGTACTTTTTTGGAAAATATAGAACATACAAATTTTGTAAGACTTTTGCTTACCTTTTTATGTTATGGCCAATAAATTAAATATAACAAGTGCAATTTCACTCCGCTTTCTTATCTCACAATTTCTTTATAAAGCAATAAATCAATTTCACACCCGCAATTTGTTGACTTAACCCCGTAATTGGAGCCGTTATCCTGCGGTTTGCTCCCTGGAGCCTTAAAACTGCAGAGTGCAGAGTGCAACTTGCAACAGTTGGCCGTTTTCCGGATTAAACTGTCACCTCGCGGACACAGCGACTGGGAAAAGGGAATCGCGAGCAACACGGTCCGCCAACTGAGGCTGTGCGCAAAAGCTGCGCCGTATTTATACGCCACTCTGCTCCACTCAGAGATGTGTCCGTAGCCCTGTCCCTGTCCCTGTCCGTATTCGTGTCCCTTTCCTCGTAATCCTTGGTGCCGCAAAGGGGGATGAGGACGAAGTCTTGTGAGCGGTGGTGGGGGTGTTTGCGCATGTCCTTGCCGGGAAATGGCGACGAAGTTAATAACAATAAACAAGTAAAAGTAAAGTAAAGTGTAACGACATTAAGATTACCAGGGAAATGGACTCATAGGATGATAATAAAAATGTGTGCATAATTATATTTCTATATATAATTTCATAAACAAATACATTTTTTCAAATTATTTCAAGTAATATGTACGTTCTTTAGCCAAGTGTTACGACATTCAAATTAAAAAATGAAAATATAATTTTGTGTATAATTAAATTCGACAATATGATTTTTAACCATTTTTTGGAGTAATATGCTTAAACCAATTTTCGGGGTAGGAATACCAAAAAATGTTAAAAAAAAATAGTGCTACAAATAAAAAATTCTTCTGAATTTCAAGCAACCAAACACCTTATTCTCTGCGAATAAATTACATGTTATACATGTAACTTTTTTGTTTAAATGTGTTAAATATTTTGGTACTTGCCAGTTAATTACGTTGCGTAATAATGCTACATACTTTTCTATAAAGGGACTTATTTAGCTTTATAAATCTTAAAATTATCTTAGTTTATTAAAAACCAATATACCCCAGTCAATATTTAAAGGGTATGAAAATGGCAGGAAAAATGCAAATAAAATTTGCAGGTGTTGCGGCAGCAGCTGGGCTCTTTGCAGCTGTTTTTGCTTGCCATCCGCCTCCAGGATTTGGCTGGCGGACGCCTTTGGTAATTGGGTTTCATTAAGTGCTCGTCGCTGGAACCGGGATCGGGAGTGGGGGCATCGAAGGGGGGAGATGCTTCTTCCGTTTCCTTTGTGTGGCCCTTGTTAGCGTTGCTCCAATTTCACCGTCGCTTGCATTGTCAATAGATTTTAATCAGGTGTAGCAAGTGTGGTAAACAGGCGCCCCTTGCTCGCACCTTTTGCCTGATTTAAATCTAGGCTTCCCAACGCAGACGGGTTTTTATTTCCATTATCCTGTTTGCACCTTGTCAGCGTCCCAATTGTTGTTTATGTAGCCACGTGTGTGCGGACACCATGGCGTATGCGTATCCCTTTTCTGGAGTCAAGTGCGCAATTTGGCTAGCTGAGCTAGCTCCCCTGAATAGTATGCTATACTTTGTGTGCGATCCTATTTTTAGGCTGCGATACCTTTGTTGCTTCGTTTGGAAATTAATTAAGTTTGAGGGTGCTAAATTAAAGTCAACAAACATTAAACGACTATATTTCGCTTAAGCTTTAAAAGTGGTTGATCATTTTTTGCACATTAACAACTAAAATATTTTAAAAAACCTTTTTTAATCATCATCAAACATGAAATAATAAAGTTTTTCTTTTGTGATAAGGTCAAAGAAATATTTATTCCGAGTTCCAAAACTATAACCAATAATCCATTTCCAATATAAAAATTAAAGACAAAGGTTTTATTTTTATTTATTTATTTAAATAATTATGTATTTTCGGGGTGCAATTAATCATTAAATTAATTAGTAATATTATTGTTTATATACGGTTCATATATATATACTCTCTTTGCCTTCTGTTGTTTTTGGGGATTCTTATAGAGTTTCTTTGTTTTGTGTGTCCGTCTTTTTTTAAACGGGATTTTCTTTTTCCGCCTGACAAAAATTTCCGGAACATTGCAATGCAATGCCGGAAATCGCTGTAGGTTCGCCGTTCTCTCGGAATTTATAGGTGTTTTCTTGTGTATACATTTGTTTGCTTTTTTTTGGTTAAAATCCAAACAAAAATCGAAACGCTTTTCTAAACATTTGTCATTGGTTATTACATACATATATTGATTTATATCTGTTAATGGTTATATGCATGTGAAGTGTCTAGGTGAGTGTTGAGATGGACATTGAACGAGATTCTAATAAGCTTTAAGGGCGACATATTGTACACGCTACGAATATTGCTAAAAATACCTGCATTCGGATTTGAATTTTTCGTTTTTACCCATTTACTCTTTGGTTTTTTTTTGTTTTGTTAATTAATTTCGATTTTGTTCGTGCCCCAATTGATTGGTAGGCAAAGCACTTTGGGCAGGCGCTTGTAGAATCAATTAGTTAATACATTAATCGTAGTATAGGTTGTATTTTCAGAACAAGGTAAGTACAATATGTGCTACGAGAATGTTGTCTCAAAGTTATATCTCTGATTTCTGATTCTGATCGGTCATGAGGGGGTTATGGGGGATTTGGGCGTTTTCTGGGGTGGAGTGTGTGAGATCTAAATATCATATCGTTACATACACGTACATATATATGCTCTAAGTACCGCCTCGTCTATTACTCGTAACATTGAAATATACAAACATATGTGTTAAGTGCCTCTGCTGCCAGCGTTGAGCTAAATAAATCCTTTGGATAAGATAACCAACGTATTGTGTGTCTAGCGCTTAATTTAATCGTTGAACTGTCTGGCTTCATCTTTCAATTCGAACCTTTCGAGCTGCACTCAATTGCTGCCTGGGCTGTTTCTCAAACACAACAGTATAATGATTGCACATAAACAGAATTCTGCAAATAAATCGTTTTGTATATTTTGACTAGACTTCGAGTTTTTGGTTTCAGCCGACTACACTTGCTCTATATATAAGTAAAGTTCCATGGATACATTTAACTGTCAATTACTTATATGGCCACGTCGATTTCAAACATCTTTTTTGGATTATACATTTCGAATATTCATATTTGCGTAACTTTACTTAGGAACAAAGCTTAGATTTCTTTGGTTTTGGGTCTTGTTCCGAAATAGTTATGTTTGTTTCTTTGATTTTTTTTTTTTAGTTTAGTGTAGTTTTGTCTAGTCGATTTGCTAAGGAAACTGAGTTCAAAGAGCTGCGAACATCGGGAAGCGACCGCCTGTCCTCCTGCTTCCACTGGCGCTCCTTGTTGCCAGTGCAGCGTAGAGGTCCAAGTTCAAGTTCCATAAAGGGTAGTACGTGGTTTTCTTTTTTGGAGAGTCACTCGTAATATTTAAGTACCATATATTTGTATTTATATTTTATATTTATATACCGTTTGTTTTATGCATGAAATAATGTAACCATAAACAAATTAGCAACAACTTTAATTTGTCCGGAGCGTCTTTTCTTATCTTTTCTTTTCTTTTAGATTTAGTATTAATATTATGACGTAAGTTACTTAAAACCTCTCACACACCAACTCGTGCACATCGTCTAAGTGGAAATTATTATTGAGTTCATTGCATTTCTCGAGATTTTCTAGTTTAACTGAGTTTTCCTTTTGTTTTCGCCTTCTGGGGAGCATTGTCATCGAGAAACGTTCGTCAGCGTGCAGCGAGATCACTTATACGCCGCCGTGGTCGCCAGCACCTGCTGCCCCGCCGTCCGATCCTCCTGCTCCTGTTCCTGCCCCATCCACCAGTGACGACTGTCCTCCGGCGGGCTGCTGCGGCGGCGGCGGCGGTGGCTGCATGTACTGTGGGGGGTACTGGTACTGTGGCGGCTGCTCTCCGCCTATGAGGCCAAGTTTATCTGTTTCGAAATACAATCAAAGAGTAAGTGGGGCAAAACACAAGGGGCGCTCTTGTTAGCTCTTTTTTTAGCCAATCTCAGACATCGATACACGAGAATACGCCATCAAAAATATTACACTTCAATGGTTAAAAGCTTATCGCTCATGACGGAATATAGCAAGTGGACATGGGATGTGGACAATGGGGTGGGGAAGCAGGATTAACTGCATCAAACAAATATATATTTATATATTTATGTACATTTAGGCAGTCACAGAAAGCTGTCTTCCCTTAAACTTCTCCTGAGGAGAAGGCCTTTCGCTTTTTCGGTGCATAAAACTTAGACCAATTCCAAAAAACATACAACATTGAATTAAAAAATTATAGAATCATAACGAGTATTATACTAATCACGCAAAGACATCGATTAACATACATTCATGCGGCTGAAGCTGTTTGTAAACGATGAAGAGGGCAGCCGCTACATCGCTTACAGCCAGCTTAAAATTATACAAACAATAGGGGTACAGCGGTAACGGAAATGGGAACACAAACATATACGGTTATAAGTAGAAGCGCAGGTGTCAAATTACTGGGTATGATATTTTGCATTGCTTTTTTGCCGTTTCTTTTTGCTTACAGTGTATCAGATTAGATCGTATTTTTCAATGGTACAAAGAAAGTGTGAAATGTTTTCTTTTCATTTTTGGTTAATTTTGACTATGGTTCTACGGATGCGGCTTGGTGGTTAATCGATGGCTGATTAGTTTTTTGTTGTTGTTGCTGTTCGGTTGGTTGTTTTTTCAGGTTTTCAGGTTTTTCAATATCGTTTATTGTCCAGTCGCCACTTCATCCGACGGACTCTGTGGTAGTTCGGTCAATTTCTCGGCCAATGGTTTCTCGAGTGTCGGTGGTTCAGATTTTTGTGTATGGTGGTGTGGTTGTAGTTGTTGTTGTTGTTGTTGTAGTAGTTGTTGTGGTTGTTGTGGTGCTGAATCTGGTGCAGTTGCCGATGCCGGAGCCACCTGCTGCTGCGAGGCAGGAGGCTGCGCAGCAGCATTATCATCCGACATGTACGGTTCTACGATAAAATTGTTCGGTGAGTTTATGTTTTTGTTTAATTTCTTTTGATTTCTCTTAAAGCGAGCAAATATAGTTTAATCAACAAATAAAAATAAAACAATAAACCAATTTAAACAAATTTTGAGTCATGTTAACAAATGATTTCTTTTAACGAGTGCACCTAGCGATAAACGTGGCGTATGAGTAATAAATAAAAGTTTGCTCTCGCTTTTACCTCACACAGAATGTGTTATTTTGGGGGTAAATTGTTTTTTGCTTATGGTTTACAAAATTGTACAAAGCTAAAGCTTTTTTCAGTGTATTTATTCTTCGTCTTTCTCTGTAATTGTTCAAAAATATGGTTCAGTGTAAAAGATTGTGTGTGTCAAATAAAATTGAAAACATTTAAGAAACAGATTTAAAGAGTTAAATAAAATATAATGGCAGTACTTTATGCTTTTGCTTTTGTAGTTTAGTGGTACAAGTAGGGCTAGCGTTTTGCGATCTGAAGGCCATTGCGTTTGAGTTGAGACTTAGTATCGAGTAACGAGTAAATAGTAACGAGTTTTGAGAAAGGGACTACGATTACGAGGGAACTATGTTCGAGTTGTATAATTTACACAGGACATGGCACAATCGTGTGTCTGTGGTTGCTGTGGTGCTGCTGCCAATATCAGATATCAGAACGAAAACAAACGAAAAACGGATAAGGATAACGAAACACTCAACAAACCACAAACTTTAAGATTAAGGCTTATGGGAGTTACGCTAGCTAGAACTTAAGGTCCTACGGTTAAGGCTAACGGGTACAAACGAATATCGGTCCATCTTGACCATGCTGATTGCCGTTTTAGATCGAAATACTTTCAGGATCTTAGATCGCAACTCACATGGACTAAGATCTCCGATATCCGGAGCGATCACAACTTTATTACGGGTTAGGCAACGGAACGATAACAACACACGACACGACTTTCAGTGGGAATCAAATCAATTCATTACCGAACCTGTGCGTATGCTCGTATGGAACCAGATGGTGTTGGACTTGGGCATATATGTATCAACAATTCAAATTTATACCGCATTTGGTTACTGTTTTTTTTTTTTTTTTGTGGTGGTTGAAGCGCATGACATATGATATGAGATCGATCGATCTACATAGTTTTGGAAATTTCGCAAGGCATCAACGATCAGTTGCACTGTGAGTTCAGAGCTCTACTCATAGCGGTTGTTAATGAGTCGGAATTTTGGTATCGATTGGTTCTTATTGGGTTGATTGATTGACTTTTGATTTGGTTTCGATTTGCATTGCATTGCGGCTAAGTTACTAGTTAGTTTATATGGATTAGATAGTTAGCAATCTACATAAAGTTACCTAGAGAAAAAAAGGTGGCGGAATTAAAAAACAGAATTTTGATTTGATGTGTAGAGAAACGAAAGCATTTTTTGGGGATCCAACGAAATCAGCACTAAACCAAGGCAAACTTAAAAGACAAACACAACGGGGGAATCTTGAAAGTTTCTTCGGTTCTGTGTGTGGGTGAGTCGAGTGGTTATGGTTGTGGTTGTGGCTGTGGAGGTCAGTATCTCTATGGGGGTCTGTGTTCAGGTAATGAGTGTCCACTCCAGCTAGGATCTGTCAACTTACTTGCAATAATGCCCACGACAACCAGGCCAATCACGCCCATGATGATCATCATCTGGAAAGCACAAGTTTAATTTAGTATCCTGTTTCTTAAGGAGCGTTGTACTAAGACCTACCTTCAAGTTCTGCAGCCAGAATTTCCTCTTTAGCTTTCCCGCCTGCTGCTCAAACTGCGAGGCGCCCTGCTGCAAGGCATCAGCGCGATCGTCCAGCTCCGACAGCTTACTGTCGCGCTCCAGCACCTTCTCCACGTTCGTGCGCATGATGTCCACGACCTGGACGGATATATAGGGTTATATTGATAAAAGTCCTTTTGAGTACTCCATAATTCAATTTAATATTTAGGAAGTCTAGGACTTATCTTGATCAAATGATATTAAATGAAAGTGATCTTTTTAAAAGTTATGATTGAATGGTATAATATATAATGAAATGATTGAATGGTCTAAATATTAAATTCGTATTGTATTTTGCCCTCCGAATACCAAAATTATCAATACAACTCCCGAAACTTAATTTTTGATATTACATAAAATTAATAAAATGAAAATGAAGATATAAGTACATATTAAAATGATGTAGGCATTAAAATCTATAAACTGTCATATGAATTGGGTTATTAGAAATGAAGACAAATAAATGGTTCAGGATTCAGAACCCAGATGTGTCAATTGTACATATTTGTATACAATTTCAAAATCTCCCCCAAATACCAAATTTATCACTATCAATACCGAAACTTACCTCATCGACCTGCGCCTGCGTCTGCTGCAGACGCTTCTGTGCCGCAATCTGCTGCGGATTGTGTGGTCCGCCCACAATCTCGCCATCGCCGCCCTCTCCGGACGGAGCTCCGGCGTTTGGTGGTGCATCGCCAGCTGGTGCAGCGTCCGCCCTGCGGGAAGCGAGGAGGTCATTAGTCATTAGTCATCGGAAAGCGCACAAAAATAGACTGGGCCAAGACTAATCAACTCCAACGGGGGCGCTCAAATTAAATACAGTACTCAAATTACAAACAAGTGGGTGTAGGTGGGGGTTCGGGTTACGACTATAGTTTCTAGCGTTAACGGAAAACATCCGAAGATGCGTGTGGGCTATAGATAGTGCTGGAGTATATTGCTAGCCAGCTACCCTTGGATCTATAGACAAAGCGCACTTACGATTCCTTGTTCTTGTCTTTCTTGCCCATCTCAGACCCCCAAAAACTTAGATCTTTTTACCTCGTCTTCTGGGCTCTGCAGGTTTTTTAAATTGGGAAATAATTAATAATGATAGTAAATAATAACATTAAGTCAGAATGGGGTAAAACCAAAACATTGTTAATTGATAAATATCTAAGCTACAATTCGTAGTGCCCATATGTTTTCTTATATTCACTGCCACTAAACAAATAACAAATTTGGTACCCAAGGTATGTTAAAACCAAAACACTTGTTTTCTTTAGGCACTGAAAGAAATTTATTAATAGTTCAAATATAAAAAAAGGTATTTAATTAAATAGTTATAACACTATACAAAATTGTTGTAGCTCAAAGTCAAGTTTCTATTTAAACAGTTATAGGGCTATAAAAAAATTGTGTAATATAAAGTCAAATTTCTATTTAAAAATGTCTACCTTAAAGATATTTGTAAATTACAGATATAATTATTTTTCATAGAACATATATATTGAACCCTCCATTCTCTTTGCTTGCCCACTACAAAGGAAAACAAATCAATATCTAACCCCAACCCCTAAGACCGGCAACATTTGATTTGCCTATATCCGCGATTATTTTTAGAAGTGATCAATCTTTTATATTGGGAAATCTTTATAAATGGTAAAAGTTAAGAGTTTTGTTGATAAAAAGCAAGAATTTGACTTCAAAGTAAGCCCGAATAGGTGCAACTTAGTTTGCATGTCCTGACTCAGTGGTGCGAAACGTGGTTTTATTGATTTTGCGGTGTGAGAGACTTGGCCATGTGATGCGAGAACGTCATCGGCCAAGTGAATCATGCTTAGTGAACCGAAATGCAGGTCTAGGCTCCTCACTTTACGGGCCTTTGGCCACTTGGACAAATGACAAATGTAATGGCCGACCCATGCTGCGTATACTTAATGTGGCTATCAAATGAGCATTCTCTCTGTGCGAAAAGCCCCATTTCCCATTTCCCCGCGCCGAAAAAAAAAATAAAAAACAAATCAATAATGTCCATCCACTTACATGTCTCTGGTGGCTGTGTGGTTGTGGCTGTAGTTAGTTGGTGGTGCTGTGGTGGCCTCAACAAATTCGGCTGGCGATGATTAGAATGAAGGTACTCTGCTAGTCACACTATATGCACTTGGCCTCTTTCACTGTCTTGCACTGCCGCAGGTCGGAATGGAGGTGGTGTAGCGGGTGGTGGTGGTGGTGGGCGATAGTGGGTGGTGGTGCAGCTGAACTCTGTTTCGTTGTTTTTGTTCTAGAGGGTTGTGCTCTCAGTGCCGCCGTGCTCTCTATTCCGCCAGAGCTTTTTCGCCCCCAGTCGTCAATGAATTTTCACTCCACTCCACGGGGGGATTGGCTGGATCTGGATCTGGTCTGGATAATGTGTGTATGTGTGCGGGTAACACTTGCCACGACAGCCTTTCGCAGGAATTTTCTGGCTCACCGCTGAAACTGCTGCTAAATAGAGTGCGAAAATAGTTGCAACTATTTTTAGTACATCGGTTTATGCTTGGTGGTATCAGTTGGTTTTACTCTAAGAGTCGGAAACACGCCCACATGTCCTTCCCTATTTCTGTTGCATACCCTCAGGGGCTCTTTTAAACTCTCTTCAAAATGCAAAACATTTTAAAAATAATTTCAAGTGCCCAATTCAGGCTAAAGCTGAGAGAGAAAGAAAAAATCAATGAAATTCTTCACGACAAAGGTTTTTTTGCTGCTTTTCGTTCACATTCCAGCGTAATTTGACTACTCCTTACATATCCTTATTAGCGCAACACTTTAACTATGCTCGGGCAGCTTAAGTTCACATTAAAACTATGCTTAAATAATAATCTTAGAATAATTTTACGCAGCACTATAAAAATTTTCACTTACGACGTTTTTGGCCAACTGCGAAAACTTGCAGCTTTCCTAACTGTTATGTGTATTTGGTTTTGGGGAAAAAGCTGCCTGGATCGTTAGCAGCGAGTGGTCTTCCAGCGAGAAGCTTTTCCTTAGCGATTCGCAAGTAGCGAGTGCCGACTAGGTGAACAATTTAAAAACAAGTCGGGCTTTTTAGTCAGGATTTAAAAACTTTGTGAATCTGTAATATAATAATAATATTTTAATAAAATATAATAATAATAATAATATATATTTTTATAAAATGATACACACCAAATTAAAAAAAAAATTCATTGGTTTTATGGTTTTTCAGAATTACAAATTTATTAACTTTGTTATTATAATAGTAAGAGTTTTGTGTGTTATAGATTGGCATTATAATTTTAAGTTATAAGCTTTCTCACACATTAAAAAAAGGAAAGTATTGACTTAATAATTATACAAGTTTATACAACAGTTTAAATGTAATAGGTTGAGTTTACGATTGTGTGTCCTAAGTTTTCTATTGCAGACTAAACGTAATTGCACTAAAGCGGTTTTCTAAACTTTGTCTGAATCCATACGCGGTACATCTTTAAGCCCCGACCGCGGTTGACCTGCAGCCTTCGGTCCACAATGAGCTGTTCCTCCTTTAGCCCCGCTTGGGTCATCATTGCCCGCAGTTCCTCCTCCGTAAAGAAGTACACCATCGTGCCATCGCCCCGCACATAGAAGTTGTCCTCCAAACACTTGCCACTCTTGAACCTCAACTGTGCAAGGTCATATCTTCCGTAATCCCGGAACAAAAGCAGGCCTCCTGGTCTCAGATAGCGATAGCAGTTGTCCAGCACCCGTTGCATTTTCTTGGGTTCAATGGCGGACAGCACGAATATCATTACGATGATGTCCTGTGAGTTCTCTTCAAAGGGCACTTGCCACTGATCCAGTGTGGCATCCATTACGAACACCTCGCAACGCTTCTCATCAAACTGGGGTTGACTACGCAGGATTTCAATGGCCCGGGCTGAGAAGTCGCAGCCAAAAACCTTCAACTGCGCTTCGGAGCTGTACTGCAGCAGGGGTAGAATGGTGTTTCCAACGCCACATCCTAATTCAAAGATGCTGCGATGCTGCTGCTCCGTTGATTCCTTGGCCAAAGGAGCTAATTCCGGGAACTCTGTAAATAGCCAGTGGCGATCCTTAAAGAAGCGGTTATCGTGGATGCCGTAAAATGAATCCCAGAACTTGGGAGCGTCTGCCTGGAAGCGGTGTTTGTCCTCCTCGTCCATTTTGCTGGCCGAGTTCTTGGCCACTGCTGTCTGTGCGGCAAGTTCCTGCTCCTCGTCCCATTGCACGTGGTCCCTGTGGATCGAGAATTAAAAAGGGTTTTCCATGAGTATATAGCAATACGGATAAGTACCAGGCGTTAAACTCGAACACTTCTCGCGCATCGGTGAGAACCCGGCTGCCAGCTCCCGCTGGTTTCTTGCGTTGGCGAGTGTGTTCCCAAGTTTTGCTGGCCAATCTCCGGAGGATTTGCATCCCATATTTACCAAGCATTGTGCTTGAAGACGTCGTCGCTGTCCGTTAGTAGGCGTGTTCCAAACTGGGGTCGTTTCTCGTTCTCAGCAGCGGGAGTATCACTCATATCGGGCAGGGAATAAGGTTTATATCACCTGTTGTCCGGATTAAATTAAAATGCAATATTTTGTAAACACGCGGCCTGTGTGACCGTATTTTTAGCATTCAAATAATACCGCGATGTGTGCAAGAGCGGCTAGTATTTTTGAGCCCCGTCACACTCAGTCGGGCGCGAAATTGGTAGTCCGCGGTTGTGTTCGTTTTCCGAGTTTTCGCGAATAAATATATGCCGCTTGGCTCCATGAGTGCAGCATGAAGCGTCGGAAAGTCAGCGCGTCGAGTTTTAGTGCAGAAAACATAAATAAATTGACAAAAAATGTATGAAAAGCGTCGACACACATCAGTGCTGCCAGACCGACTAAAATTTACTGTTGGTTATTTCTAGTGGTGCACCCGTGCGGCCAATCCAAATCGAAACTTTGTAGGAATTTAAAAATAAAACAATTTACAAGTTTTAAATGAAAGTCACTCAACAAAAAGTTAATGTTAGTAAGTCACAAAATTAATTTGCTCAAAATAATAATACAAATAATTAAAGCAAGGAACTAATTAAAAAGTTTATTTACATTTTTTAACGATGCACTAAATTATAATTTATTTAAACATAATAATATTCGAACTACAATTTTTAAAGAAATTCCTATTAACGGGACCAATAACTAATAAGTCGTGCTGTGACTTAAAACGTGCCCATCTCTAATTTGGGACTCCACTTTTTTCTCAGTGGCAACGCCGCGTCAGTTGGTATATCAAAACCGCAAACCATCCTTTTTGTTGTATTGTGCGTTGTTTTCTGCGACGGCAGCTAGATATTTAAACAATTAGCATCCTAGTGTGCTGCGACACCACCGCTTATTGTGTACACGTATAAGGCCCATCGAAGGAGCAACCGAAAGAGACGCCATTTAGCGTATTGAGTTCCAAGAAGAATCGCGTATACGCAAAGGCCCGCGGAGGGACCTACAGGAACAGAAAAAGACCCCACAATCAGCGTTCTGCGAAAGAATCGCGCTCAATAGTACGATAAAATGATGAACGAGGCAGCCCTTGCGAACATGATACCCTACGACACCATCGGACTATACGAACAGCCCAAGCCGCGCTTTATCTTCAAGATGCCGCGAGTGGTGCCCGACCAGAAGTCCAAATTCGAGAGTGATGAGCTCTTCCGGCGACTTAGCCGGGAAAGCGAGGTGCGATACACTGGCTACCGGGAGCGCAGCATCGAGGAGCGGCAGGTGCGCTTCATGAACGGCTGCCGCGAGGGACACACGGAGGCCAGCTTCGTGGCCTCGGGAACCAATCTGCAGCTGGTGTTCAATGCCAACCAGAACCCGTACCTACACGACAAAGAGTGCGACTTTGACAAGGAGCACGGCAAGGTGCACATCAAGTCATACTTCATCATGAATGGGGTGTGCGTCCGGTTCCGTGGCTGGATGGATCTGGAGCGGCTGGACGGCGTGGGCTGTCTGGAGTACGACGAACGACGGGCGATGCATGAGGATGCTATCCTACGGGATCAGATCGATCGCTACAACCAACGACTAAGAGAGTTCGAGGACACCAAGCGCGCCTACCGCGACAACCGGCAGGACGAGATGGAGGCGGTGCGACGGGGCGTGGCCTCCGGGGGCATTGGCGTCGGTGCCAGCATGTGGCGACGTTAGTTAGACCTGTGGACGGCGCCAGGGCCGTCGCATCCGCAGCTACAGCAGCTCCAGCAGCAGCAGCCGCATCACCAGCAGCTAGAGACTCAATTCGCGAATACTCAATACTTCATGGACAACTGAGAATTCTCCGAGCCCATTTAAAAAGGGACTACCCTTGCGAGATTTCAATACGATTACGTTAGACACGCTCGAATTATGCTCCTAGATTAGTGTTAGATCTAATGCTTACTTTACGTATGCTTTTATGGTATTATACTTACAACTTAGTGTGGAATTAGTGTCGTATCTTTAACTAAAATACATAATTACTAATCGATATGGCATTGTTAATTTTGGGCTTTCCGCTGTGACGCAGCCTAAATGAGACACTTCAGCGGAAATAACCCACCGGGGATATCTATCGAATTAGATTGCTATATTTCAGGAGCTTTTATATTAAAATACAGTAGACATCGGTTATTTCTAATGAATTTTTAATAGTGACTAATCCAAATTACATTTTCGGACTGCAAAACTAAATTCAATCCTGTCTTGATGATATTTTAAAGTCAAACAAACCCAAAGGTTTTGAATATGTATTACTCCGGACCTTACAAAGAAAACACCACTCTCGATTTGATTTGATACCAATATATTAAACAGATACTGAACTTTATATTCATACATAATAAGCAAGAATAGTGTTAAACTAAACTAAGGGTCGTCGCTTGGCGTGGAGGAGACGTATATTAAAAAGCGCAACGCATTTCTGACCTAGCGGAATTGCAAAGTGGATATACGCAGCCCAATGCTGTCCTTGCCGATCTGGCTTACCTCGCAAACTGTGCAGAGGCTGCCCTTGAATTGCGGGTCGTACGAGGATGAGCAGAAGGGACAGGTCACCTCAGGTTTACCCCTGTACAGTGGCTTCCAGCTGATGCCGCAGATGGTGAACGGATTGAACTCCTCGTACTGCAGCTGGTGCTCGTCCACCGGGTTAACTTCGCAGGCCTGCAGGATCTTGCGCACTTGCTGGGCCACATCCGGACGGGGGGCCAACTCCAGAAGACGGCGGGCAAAGGAGGCGGCCGTCTTGTAGTTCTTCAGCTTGAAGAACATGTTGAGGGCGGTGCGCAGGGTGAGAATTTGATGCACTGGCTGCAGCTTGCAGTGCGTGAAGTAGGCGGCCATTTCGCACAGTCGCTTCTGCTCCTCCAGCGTCGACTTGGGCATGCCCTTGCGCACCGTCTCCATCTTCAGGCCCACAATGTACTCCGCGCAGATTCTCAGCAGCTGCTGTGCCTCCGCCGCATCCAGTTTCGTGTCCACCACCAGCAGTGGAATGCTGATCAAAATGGAGTGGAACTTCTCTACGGCCTCGGTGAACTTGCCCGAGGTGGTTAGCTGGTAGCCAGCCTGTAGGCGCGCCACCAAATCGTTCAGCTTGATTCCCACTGCCGGGCGTTGAAGCTTGATATTAGTCTCGGAGAAGTTGCGCAGCGGGTATCCACTCAAAGATTGCAGATTTGGATTGGCCGTGTAGCTGGTTTTAGAGCAGGCGTAGTTCTGCAGGAAGAGTGTCTTGAATGGCTTGAAATTGACCACTCCCAGCTGGTCGTGCAGCAAACGGAAGGCGGTCTCGAATGATCCGGCCTTGACATGGTCCAGCACCAGTGGCGAGTTGTTGGCCCATTGCTGGGCGGGAGACAAGCCCTTGTTGGGAGCCGCATAGTAGTTGCTGTCCAGGGCGGAGGCCTTGATCTTGGAGGCCAGCTCCTCGGGCACCACCAGATCGTCATCGCCCACATCCCAGCCGGCTCCATCTTCACCGCCTGCTCCGCCTTCTCCATCGTTACTCAACGCATCGTGCATCTCCTCATCACCCTCCTCATCCAGTCCCAGATCGGCATCCGCTCCCCAGCCATCGCCGCCGCCATTGTGCTCGTCCAGAACTGCAGCATCGGCGTTGATGTTCAGCGCCTGACGGGCAGTGGCACTGGTTCCAGCCCTGGTGACCATGGCGCCTTCGAAGAAGCCCTTAGAAACGGACAGCAAAGGCCAATTGGTCTCCAGCTGCTGAATGGGCACTGGTGGTTGCAGCAGCTGAGCATTGGGATTCACCTCGGGAAGAATATTTCCCTGCGAGGTGATAGACTCGCCCAACGATTCAGTGAGCTCCTCGAATCCATGGGTAGCGGCTGTCAGATAAGCCAGCGAAAGTTGTCCGCAGTTTTTGAGGATGTTTACCCGCTCCTTAACGTCACCGAGTAGAAGTGCACCCTGGTACTGAGCCGACACATCCTTGCGGATTTCTGCGATCTTGTTCATCTTCTTGAGCTTCTCCAGATTTCCGGTGATCAGATAGAGGAAGCTAAGCTTGTCAAAGTTCTTGGTGCGCTGGTAGCACATTTCCACGACCTGGTGATTGCCTTGGAGAAGGGCACTCTGTCCCAGACGATTCCAACAGTCCTTGTCATCCAGAGCCTTGGCAGCCTCCAGTGCAATCTCGATGTTGCCACACTCAAGAGCCAGTCCAAATCGCGTCTTCTCATCCTTGACGAAGTGCAGAGCCACCTCCGGATATCCCTTCTGCTGCAGGTAGGCAATGATGCTCTGACCCACCAAACGGGCATTTCTCACCATGTGCAAAACCTCGTCGTACTTGCGCTGAATCAGGGCCAACTTAAACTTGTACTCCGTGGGATCGATGTGGAGTACGCGGGTGCGGCACTCGCGATCCAAGCAGAACACCTGGTTTCCCTTGACGCGCGTCAAATAGATGGGCAGGTCCAACGTACGAATAATGCCGTGGTCGCCGTTGGTGATGGCGTACTTGATGTGGTTGCTGGTGGTGTAGATAAACACGCCCGACTCATCCCAGGCTCCAGACTTCACGCGACAATTCTCCTGCACGGTGCACAAGTACTGCAGCCTTCGGTCGCAGATGGTCACCGAGTGCTTGCAGAGCAGCGCCACCAAGGACATGTCCGGGGACCACACCACGTAACGACACTTGGCCAGCTTAATGCTGCCTACGGAGACGAGGCGTTGCACCTCGTACAGGGTGACAAACTCGGGATCCCGGATGAGCAGCATTCCCGTTCCGGCATAGAAGATCTCCTCGCAGAAAGTGGGCAGTTTCTTAGTCACCTCGTTCTTGAAGTTCTTGATCACCAGCTGCTGGTTGCGATCCAGCACTGCAAACCGATTGCGGGCCACCCAGATGGCCGTGATTCCGGAGCTGCGCTTGCTGTCCGACTCGCTCTGGCTCTCGGTGTCCTTGGGGATCTGGCACAAGTCGTAGGTGCTGTTCTCCAGGTTGTTGGTGCGCGTGCAGATGAGCACGGCGTTTAGGGCCGGGTTATATGACATGCTGTACACCGGCGACTTGCCCGGCCGCAGCTGCATCACCACCGTGTCTTTGGTGGTGGTAAAGTCCAGTTTGCGCAGGAAACGCTCCTTTACGTAGTACAGGATGTTGCCGTGCACGGCATGAGCGGGACGCTCGCGCTCCAATTTGAAGACCACCATACCTTAAATAAAAACAAAATATTAATACCACAAAATGTTATAAAAAAAAACAGATAACTAACCTCCATCGTGGCCAGCTGCAAACAGATTCAAAGTCGGATGTGCCGTGAGAATCCAGAAGCGTTCATTGTCCCGGCGGAATGTGAATAGACACTGACGCTTGGTCATGTCCCAGACGCGAATGCTGCGATCCTCGCCGTTCGAGAGAATCAGATCCTGGCGTGGATGGAACAGCACGCTGGATACGTTGTTGTAGTGCCCACGGCAGGTGTCCACCTCCCAGGCCTTGTACTCGTTCATGCGCCACAGCTTAACCAGGCGATCGTCGGCACCGGACACGATCAGCGGCAGAGTGGGATGGAAGCTGGCCCAGTTGACGCCGCGGTCGTGGCCCTCGAGCACATGCTTGACCACAGCATCCGCTTGGCCGAACAGATCGGTGGCACCAGGATGACCCTTGAGGTGATCATCAAGGCCGCCGGGGCCGGGTGCCACGTTCTTCTTCCGCAATCCGGAGATGTCCCAAACGCGCACCGTCTGATCCAGCGAAGCGGAGACAATCTGGTCCTCCGTGGGATGGAATTGGGCACACATCACATAGTGGTTGTGGCCCGTCAGCACGCAGATGCAGTTGCGCGACTGCCAGTTCCAGATGCGGATGGTCTGATCGTCGGAGGCGCTGAGAATCCACGGGTATTCGTGGTGGAAGGCCACAGTGCGGACATAGTCCAAATGGGCCAGAAGCGTGAAGATGCAGCGGCGCTGCTTGTAGTTCCAAACCTTGATCTTGTAGTCATCGCCACCGGAAACGAAGAGAGGCATCTGCGGGTGGAAGGCCACGCCACGCACCGGGCCATCGTGCTCGTCGAACTTCTCGAGGAGCGTGTGCATCCGGTAGTCCCACAGCTGGATGACGCCGCTGTGTAAGCTGACCAGGATCCAGGGTCGTTTCGGGTGGAAGGAGAGGCCCTTTACCCGCGCCGACTTCGACTCGAAGTTGGTCAGCATGTTGGCACTTTTTCCGTTCTGCCTGTAGGTGTCTCAATCTGATTGCTCTGCTGGGTGTCGGCTTTTCTTTCAAGCGCCCTGTTCTGGTTGCTTCCGGCACTCGCCTGTATTAAAACATAAAGAAATGGGTGTAAGAATAATTGCCGGTAATTTTGTGTGTTTTAAATAACACGCAATCTAATGCCAACAATTAATTTTGTGAAAAACACCAACCAATTGTCGAAATTGTGACACGTCAATTATCTTCTTCTTCTCGGCAATGTTGAAAACGCAAGTAGGGTTGTCGCCCGCTGCCAGAGATACTCTGGTTACCATAAGTATCAGCACACCATTATGAATAAGTATAAAATCGTAATTCAAAATACGGTTTCTACATATTAATTAATTTAATTAAAAATTTGTCGGGTTTAAAAACTGGTTTTATAAAGTAACAACAAGCTAAGGCGATTGTTTTCGTAGCTCTAACGTTTAAAAAATTTTAAATCAGTCAGAGATCAATTTTTATAGCAATAAAAATATTAAATTAAATTTTCGGTTCTTTTTTAAACATTTTTTTGTTAAAAAGGTGTGATAAAATATGTTGAATCCTCTAAATAGAACCCTTAAATATTGTTTAACAAAAACTTTCAAAAATTAAATATAAAAAGTAACCCATGCTTTTAGTTGCCACTGTGAAGGGCCTGTTGCAGTCGTTTTACAACACTAGGAACAAAAGTGCATTTCGTTGTACTACGCTTTGTTTATTTTTAACCTACCATGAACAAGTGCTAAATAAATAATGACGCTGGCACACCGGGCGCTCTTTACGTGGTTCATCGTCCTGGTCTTCCTGATCCTGCTGTGCCTGCGCCTGGACCCGCGAACCACCTGGAATTGGTTTGTCACCTTTACCCCGCTCTGGTTCTTCGATGTGATCATCATCATCTACGTGATCATCAAGTTCATCCGCAAGTGGCGCAACCTAACCTGCCTGACGGATCTCCTCTTCCTGTACAAATGGAACATTGCAGGCGTATTGCTAACCATCTCCTCGCAGGTAATGATCTGCCTGACACTGGAGTACCCTCAGCAGATTCCCATCTACGTGACCATCGCCCCGGTTATCCTGCTCCTAAGCACCGCCATCTTCTATGTGGGCAGTAGGCTTGGAAAACGCGAGGGCTGGTTGCAATAAGACCGGGATTACAAAATATAGGATTAAGCATGTATTTTAGGATAAGGTGTACATAAAGTGGAAACTCAAAAGCCGTATTTGCTTTGGGTGGCCCGACGGGTCTGCCGGTTGGCCGACCACATTGCCTGCAATTCGGCTTCGTTTGCCTTGGCCTTGTGCGCCAGGTAGGTGATCTGGTGCTTTCGCCGCGTCCCTGCCACCGGCTCCTCATCCGTCAGCACTCCGGTGGGCTGGAAGGTGGTGGATGAGGCCAGCGCCGTTCGCATCCATTCCTCGCGATCGGGAAGTACCTGCGATCCGACTATGTCGATCACCTGCATCTCCTTGGCCTCCTTCCGCCGCCGCTTGGCGTTTTTGCCCACCAGTGCGTCCATGGCCTCGGGGTTTAGCTGCTGCTCGTGATACCGTTTTTGAGCCTGCTGCGTCTGCTCCTCTTCAAGGCGGGCGGCCTCTGCTTCGGCTGCTTCCTTCTCGGCGATCTCTTCGAGGTATTTGCTGCTGGCCTCCACCATCTTGGCTGCTCGCTTGGCCACTAGGGCGCTGATCTCGTTGCTGCTCACCTCCGGCAACTTTTGTTCAGAGTTAAGGGAGAAGAAGTCGCCAGTGCCATCCTCATCGTCGTCTTCACTATCACTGGCATTCACCAGGGAAGTGGTTTTAGCTTTAGTTTTTGATTGCATCGGCTTTGAAGCTTCCTTTCCTTCGGTATTCTTCTTTTGGACAGCCTTAGTGCAATCCACACCTTCAGTGTTGTGCGCTGCTCGTCGCTGTTTTACTGTATCGGGCACAAAAGCTGGTGCGGATCGAGGCTGGACGGGAGCACTTGTAGCTTGGGGTGCATTTGAAGAGCTTGCTGTGGGAGTGGCTGCCACAGATGATGAGGAGCTAGAGCTCTTGGAGAAATTTCGCTCTGACTTTGCCTGGGGGAGCAGACTCAGCAGCCCGGATCCCTTGGGAACATTTGGTTTGTCAACTTTGTTCTTGGCCTTGTCAGCCTTCTCCCGGTCCACATCGGAGAACTCCCGCAGCGATGGAATGCTGATCTTGACACGCCCTTTAACTGGCGGTGGTGGAGGTTTCTCTATTTCAACTGGCAGCGCCTTTTTGTGCAGAAATTCATCATCCTTCTCTTCAATGATGAGTTTTGTTGGCGCTGCTGTTCGAGGCATTGGCAACTTGGCAAATGCAGGGGTCACTAGTTGATCCACATCTTCTTCTTCAGTGTTTTCTGCGGGTGCAATGACTTTTGGCTTGGGTAAAGCCATTGTGAGTCTGGCGGTGGGCGTTTTGAGTTCCTGCAAGGACACCTCTTGCGGCACGTAGTCATCGTCTTCATCGCTAATGTGACCACTGGTTGATACAGGTTCTACAGACGCCGCCTCATGGGAAGCAATTGTGCTTGGCTTGGCCTGTGGTTTCACCTGTTCCACTTGTGGCCCTGGGTTTTCCTCCTCGGACTCCGAATCTTCATCAGAACTGGCGGCATAGGCAACCAGCGACATGATTTTTAAATTGGTAAATTAAAATTAAACAATGCAATACACAAAATACAGCTGTTTTATGATAGAGCTGTCACCTGTTTACAGGATTTGAATTGTTGGCAACTCTTTTTACTTATGTGCAGTGTTAATCAACACTGATAAAAACCGTTAAAATGCGTCTTCGATTTTTAAACCATCAACTAAATCAAATAGTATAAGTATATTTTCTAATAAACTTTTTAAAAAAGTTTAATTTGAATATTGTTAAATGTTCCATAATCAAAACTAAGTTTAAGAATAGGTAAAATTGTTTTTAAAAAAAACCAAACTAAATTGTCGGCTGTATTTACCTAATACGAAATTACAAGTTTTCTACAGACCTTTAGAAGCACCAGGATTCATGATTCCCAAAAAGGGTAATCATAAAAAATACCTGATTGTCTCCAGATGGTTGGCACACATTACATTACCATATGTCAGATATCCTGAGGGATCATAAAACATTCAGGAACCTCGACTTTTTCAGGTAGAAATATCTTTAAGCAAGTACCTGTACCAGAACTCTTATTCGGTATAAATAGGCGAAACAACCCGAAGGAGATCAGTCAACTTTTTCGCTTCATAGAAGACAGTTAGTGTAATAACCATGCATCATCATCAGAACATTGGAGACGCTGCCGCCTTGAATGGAATGCTCCCACCTTACGAAGCCATGGCCATGTACGAGCAGCCAAAGCCTCGGTTCATCTTCAAGATGCCCCGTGTGGTGCCCGATCAGAGGTCAAAGTTCGAGAACGATGAGCTTTTCCGACGCCTAAGCCGCGAAAGCGAGGTGCGATACACGGGCTACAGGGAACGGGCAGCGGAGGAGCGCAAGATGCGATTCATTACGGATTGCCGCAAGGGCTATGCGGAGATCTCAATGGTGGCTTCCGGCACCAACCTGCAGCTCTACTTCAACGCCAACCACAATCCGTACGCCCAGGAGCAGGAGTGCGACTTCGACAGAGAGCGCGGCAAGGTGCATCTGCGCTCCAGCTTTATCATGAACGGAGTTTGTGTCCGCTTTCGGGGCTATGTGGATTTGGATCGACTTGACGGCGTGGCCAGTCTGGAATTCGACGAGCAACGAGCCCAGCAGGAGGATGCCCAGCTGCAGGAGCAGATCCAAAGCTACAACCAACGCATGGCTGAATCCAAGAGAATTTATCACACCCCCCAGACTCCACCGGAGGATCACCATCGCAGGGGCGGACCTGGTCTGCCCGGAGGCCCAATGGGCTGGTAGTAATATGGCCATTTTTATAAGTCTGTAGATTTAATTAAGGACCTTTGTAAATTTGATAATAAATAGCTTGAATCAATGCCTCGTATTATCATTTTGAAATTATATTTAAAGTTTAAACTTAAAATCAAGGTAAACATCTTATTGACTTCTATATCGACTGCAAAACAGAGCGACGTTCGAAATGTTTTAAGAAATAAAAACGAAATTCTCAATATATTGGCATTCAAATTCGGAAACTCTAGAATCAGGGTAACCCTGTTTAATATTGTAAATTTTTTAGAAAATCTCAACTAGTCCCAAATAAGTGCATTGCATTTTTTAAACAAAACCACAACCAAAAAACGCAAAAAATGATTCGTATTTTACTTAAGGTCCAATTTTTACCCAGAAGTCTATTAAAAATTTAAATTATTATTAATAGAAAATTAAAAGCACAAACTTTGAGATTCGGTTTTAGTAAGTCAACTTATAAGACAACATTAATGAACCCTTATTCATTGGGAACTCTCTAAAAGTAACTTACGAAAGCAACTCATGTTCACCTAATGATTGTTTATCTGGGGCTCCTTAAGGGTTGCTGGCCGGGGTCTTTGGCCTTCATTGCGCCAGTTTCGGAACAACCACCACCCAGACGGACCAAACCCTCCAAGGAGGACGATGCCGAGGAGTGGGTCCAGCTGCCGTTCCGCCGTATACTCTCCGGGGTGGGCCGACTGTCCTCTCTTAACTGAACTCTCGATTTGAACAGAGCACCGGACATGTGAGCATATATTGATTTTCCGCCCGTTTGTGTTGGGATGCTGCCGAAATAAACTTTGCAACTGGTCTGATTCTGAATCTGAATCAGTCTCTTTCCGAACGCGAAACTCAAAAGCGGAAAGACGCCGAGTGAAAATGAAATAAACAGAAGGGAACGCCGTTGCGGACTAAGTATTCATAAAATTATACATACCGCAGCGCGATTTGCAAACATTCGGATTGTGTGCTGTGCTTCAATTTGTTGGTGGTCGCCGTACTTTTCCGCACCGTCCGAATCGGCACGAAAAGCTGAGAGATTGGTCTAAAATTAGCGACCGGTGTGTTTTGGTAGGGTGTCGTATAGGGGGTCCCAGTGAACTCCGGCCCCTCCGAACCCCCAGCGGCCCACTTGGAATATATACACGAGTTGTGAGCCCCAAAAAGTGTTTAGCCATAAAACGGCCAAGATGCCTCCTGCATCCAATACGATCGTGCTGAAAAGCCTATCCGTGCTCCTGGGCCTGTTCTTCATCTTTGTTGGCACCCTGAAGTTGACGCCGCACATCAGCAAGGATCTCTACAAGGACCTGGTATGTGAAAAATCAATACTGACGGAGTTTTCGCTTGGTTGTTTTCTTTGCGGTCATGTGGGTGGCAGACCATCGATTTTTACCACTCCTTCGAGGTGCAGTTTTGAGTCTATTTGTTCTTTATTTGGAAAGCTTATGTAAATTGGTGGAGAACATTTTAAGAATAGTCCGATAATAGAACGCCTTTCAAAAATATGACTGACTAATGGGCATTGAACTCGACCCCATCAATGCCAATCGCTGACATTCAGACGACGCGAGACGCTATGATCTTCAAAGATATTTCAGGAAAAATATGTGCTTTATTATTGAAATAGTCAAAAAAAAACCTAAGTCCAATGTGGGAAAATCGGATAATGTTTGTCCAAAAACGTGGAATTTTAAAATAAATGGTTCAGTAAAAAATATACGTTTTATTTATCCAAATAGATGATGATTCATTTAAAGAGCTAAACAATAATGACCAAATTTAATTTTTTTTAAATTTTTGTTTATAAATAAATAAGCAATCAATCCAAAAAAAAACCAAAATTTACAATTTTAACAAGAAAATAGAAAGCTTTGAAAATTTGGCAAACTAATTAATAATCACGTTCTTTGTAAATTGCTTTGAATGCCTCCAAACAAATAAGAATCATGCGTATATTTGTATATCTTGAAAAAGCTGAAGATTTATAAAACAGCTGTTGCTGAGAATTTGTTGTTTACCTTTTGTAAAAACAACGCCCAAAGATTTCGTTTTCATTACCATAAAAATATTTCACATACCAATGTTAACAATTTTGCACACCAAAACCACCATGACGTATTTTTCTCAATCAATTCAGGGTATACGAATTAGTTTTATATATGTAAAACAAGAGGGTGGGTCGACAGTCTTATGTGAAAAATAATTTAAACTGAAAATAAAACCAAACAGCGTAATTCACAGGACACACCTTATTCAAATATCGTATATTTCCGATTCGGTTGATGTTTTTAAATTGGCATTGCATTCGTTACGCGCCATTTTACTTTCAGTCCTCGAGTTTTTTTCTAATTTCTTTTTTTTTTGCCCAAGCTATGGCATTTGAATTTCGAAATATTCGTTTTGTTTGCTGTTCCCAGTGGTGTAATTACCTTCGAATTACCACAAACACTTGGGGCCAACGATGCCAACAAAAACACAGACAAAAAGAAAAGCTTGCCGCCTCCATTTAAAAATAAACGGGCTGCACCGCCAGGCGGAGCAAATTCCTCTGGGGGATGGGGATGAGTTTCTGGGCATGATTAATTATAACCCCGATTTCCTCTCGATTGCAGCGCACAGAGTACGTGAAGTATGCCAAAGTATTCCCGTTGACGGCCCTCTTTGGAGTGAAGGTACCTTCGAAATGGTACCGGCGCACAGTTGGCATCCTGGAGATCGTCTGCGGCCTGGCCATGGCTCTGATTCCTTATCGTAAGTTGGGGAGATGACTCCTAGACATATAAAGATAAGCTAAACTACATTCCATGCCCACCCACAGATAAAGTCAAGAATGCGGCCAATGTGACGCTGCTGGTGCTGATGCTGCTGGGCATCTACCAGCACTGGATGGTAAGTGATCCCTTCGAGCGCTCCGGACCGGCGCTGGTGTTCACCTTCATGCTGGGTGGTCGCCTGGTGGTCTGGTACCAGACCGCCCGCCTCCAGGACGAGGCCTCGACGGCCGCCCAGCCACCGGCGAACGGCGTCAAGCAGGATTAGGCGACTGCTCCTGCTCGCGCTCCCATTGCATCACATAGTCATACTCATAGTCATTCACTGAACCAGCTTTGTTTTAGCACCTTAAGTTGGGTTCCTCCAAGGCAATTGGCGCGCCCTGTCTTTGTGTCACAAATTCATTCACACAACAACATCATTCTAGCAAATCGAAATTCATGTTTTACTTTGGTGCCAAATTAATTATCGTATACAAAACTATAAAAGAGATATTAACTAAAACTGTAGAGCCACGGCATAAAGACACGACCAGAACAACCAAAAATTGTATTCAAATCCTCTTCGTAACGGGCACTTAGTCGAACACATCTAAATTACGACTTTTAGAAACAATTTTAATAAATTTGAACAACTCATACATATTTAAAATTAATTATCCAACATGTCAGTCAATCTGAATTTCGTATTACTTTCGTTTTGCAACGCGCGATTAGCGGAGAGATTATTAAGGGTATACTGTGGTGCTGTAAGCTATAACTGAGCCTAGGAATCGATTCCTAAATACATATATCTGGTGTGTGTGCCCTACTCGGATCCAGTGCTCAGGAGCTTTAGGGCCTTCTGCAGGTTCTCGATGGCGGTCTTCACGTCATCATAGTTGAGGGCACTTCCTGCGTACTTGCAATACTTCTGGGCGGTAATCATTTGGTCAGGAGTGATGTGCACTCCGGCCACGGGCACAATGGGCTGGTAAATGGTGGCCGCCGTGGCCGGATGGGGCTGACCTGTGGGCACATAGGGCTCAAAGCCACCGGGCTTTTCCTCATCCACCGGCGGACTGGGCAATTTGTTCGGATTGTTTAGCACCTCCTCGACGGTGGGGGGAACCACGCTGGAAGTCGTCGGCGAAGATGGAGCAGGCGGCTGGGGATCAGGGGCAGGATCAACTGCTCCCGCTGCATCCTCGGGCGATGTGTTCGTAGCCGAGGCGTTGGCATTCTCCCCCTCGAGTTCCGCCTCATCATCGTCATCTGGCAAGGGACCGGGAATCGGTGTTTCTCCGTTTTTCAGGCAATTGTGTATGTAGGCCGCCTTCCACTTGGCGTACTTCCTGTTGTGCAGCGCCTCCTCGCTCAGCTCCCCGAAGGTCTGCAGTATGTCGTAGAGCACTCCGCTGGAGTAGAAGGCCTTGACGACGTTTCTGCGGAGGAGTCATTAACTTGTGAATCACGAAAATCGATTCAGAGGTTGTCCCTGTCGCTACCCACTTGCCAAAGTTCTCCTCGCGATCCTGTTTATCGGCGTACAGGAATAGTTTCAAGGCGTAGTTTTCAATGTGAGCTTGGGCAGCCACCTCGTTGGTCAAGGCCTCGTTGTCCGCATGCTGCTTCTTCATCTGCTCCAGCCAATCCATTAAGCCTATGCGGTTGAAAGGGAAAACCAAACCAAAACAAAACAGGGATGAGTCATAGTTGCGGAATATGCGTATTGGATTTTCACTTACCGAGGAGCAATTTGGTTTCCTCACCCGTTTGGGTGGACGCCTTGAGACCCACCTGGAGGGCACTAGATCCGGAAACAAAGAATTAACTTTAAATACACACCGGGACAGGGTAAAAACAATTTGTAGGTACTTACTAGAGTCTCGCCCAGTAGGCAATGACAACATCCCTTGTGTCATGCTCTTGGGCCAGTTTCAGGAAGTGCTGAATGGACTTCAAGGAGGGGGGACAAGGTGGAAACTCCATCGTAGCCGGAGGAAATCTGAATCTTCCTCTTTGTCTTGGTTTAGTTTGTGTGGATCTAGAAAATTGTGCCGAAATTAGTGGAATTACGTAGAGTGACCAGCTTTTGCAGTTATATTGCTTATCGATAGCCGATAGATCGACTAGTTTTATTATCGATATGAGTTCGTGAAACTAGTCAGCGTTGCCAGGTGTTGAGCTGGTACATAAGCTAGATTGTGGATAAAAAGGCTATCAAATAAAAATGCTGAAAAACAAGCTATTTCCAACTGGAAGAATTCATACAAGAAACTATATCTTTATAAATGGACTAATACTATAATGCCGAAATTATGCAATCATTTAAAACAAATATAAATGTTGGCTATCAACTTCGTTTGAAAGTGCTAATCTATTATAAATTGAAAATTCTGTTATTTGTTTTTTTGAGTTTCCATTTTCAAAAAGGCTAGATCTAGCCTTAAAAAGGCTAAACTGGCAACACTGAGTGGAACCAGCAAATACAAAACTAAAGTTAGTACCTGTGTCTACAGGTGTTGGTGTTGGACTCTCAGTTGTTAATCGGCGGCCAAGACGTTTGGAGTTGTTGGGTAAATATACTGGGAACCGGTTGTGGCGCGGCTGTTATCAGTGCGGCTAATTGCACTTTGCACTTTGACCTGCATCCTAATCCTAGGCACTTTTCTCCAGGTTCATCTATAAAACACCGGCAACATGGTTCTTTCCAAGCCTTTGTACTCGCTCTTCGGCAGTTATCTGGAGCAGCTCTTCAACCATCCGGTTCGCACCAAGTCCATTACGGCGTAAGTACACTGACCGCCTTATCTGGCCATTCCGTAACCCCCACTTGTTGCTCCTGGTTCCGATTTTAGATGCGTTTTGGCCACTTCGGCGAATGTGACCTCCCAGCGTTTGGCGGGGGCCAAGAAACTCAACCAGCACAGTGTCTTCGCCTACGGACTCTTTGGCCTCATCTTCGGAGGAAGTGTGCCCCATTATTTCTACACAACGGTGGAGCGGCTCTTTAGCCATGACTTGCGCTTCAGGAGGTTCTTCCTATTCCTGTCCGAACGACTTGCCTATGCTCCGATCTACCAGGCACTCTCCCTGTTCTTTCTTTCCCTGTTCGAGGTAAGAATCACATAAATCTCTAGAGATTACGTTTGGTAGTCTTATTGATAAGAAAGCTATAGCAACCTTAAAGCATTTGCCTGTGAATGATTTCTCACCTTTAATCTCTTCCAGGGCAACTCCCCCCAAACGGCGTTGAATAATGTGGAGAAGCTCTACTGGCCCCTGCTCAAGGCCAACTGGCAGTATCTTTCCGTTTTTGTGTACCTCAACTTCGCCTACGTGCCACCGATGTTCCGGTCCATTAGCATGGCCATCATATCCTTCATCTGGGTGGTTTACATCGCCAAGAGGCGTCGTCGCTTCCAGGAGAAGCAGACCGCCGAGAAGGCCGCCAAATAAGCATTCCATCCCAGAGACGAAGACTTTAAACTTTGTGCATGTTGTCTTGGCTTAATATTCCAATTACTGTTTAGATTACGGCTGCTTGAAGTTCATTATCTGCCTTGCGTTCCGGCGGATTGCTAAAAGTCCATAAGTGTACGGGAGCGTAAGATAAGCTAAAACTAACTGGAGTGTCGCCTTATCAAACGACTGTTGTTAAACCTTAAATTTTGTAAACTTTTCGTACTAATAATAAACGTATAAATAATGAATGAGCCGGAAAATTGTATATGCTAAGTATTAGTAACACAACGACATTTTTTTAATTTTAAAGATTTTACAAGTTAGACATGTTTATTCAGTGAGTCTTATTCCTATTACCACAATTTTATATTATTAATACCGAATTGATGATTTCACATATGTATATAAAATTGCCTATGATAAAAACTTTATTAAAATTTATTTTAATCAAGTCGAAGTTAATTTGGCTATGAACACTCTTATCCCCTTTCCTAAACTAATTAAAATATAAGTGAAAACAACACGAAAATATACATAACGGCCAGGAAAGCTTTGTAAGTACTTAACGAATCGATTAATTTCAAATTTGCTTAAGTGTGTCCGTCACACTTAAAATTATTTAAAATCGAATAATTAAATGGAAGAGCACCTAACCTAAGATTGATAATATATCATTCTAAAATCTGGACCACCTGGAAGAGCATGGCTGTGGCGACCATCGTAATTGCTCTGGCTTTTTGTTTGGTAAAACGAAAAATGCATCCATTCTAAATAAAAATTATTCACTTACTCTACCACTCTAATTTTAGTGCTTGGCGGTTAAAGCTAACCAAAACTATGCCGCCTTAAGAGAACACAATCGGTTGAGGAGGCTGCATGGCAGTCCGCCGCTTCAATTGGATGCGGCTCTTTCCAGGGGAGCTCAACAATATGCGCAGGTTTGTTCTCGCTTTTTATGAATATAAATAAATATTTAATACTATTTAACAAAATTGCTTGAAAAGGTGCTGGTCCGTAGAGGATCGTTAACGCATTCAAACGGACCATATGGAGAAAACTTATGCCGACATCTTGATCCTGTAAAATGTGTACAATTTTGGTATGATGAAATTCCCATGTACAACTTTAATCATCCAGTTTTCAGCGTGCCTACTGGACATTTTACTGCCTTAGTTTGGAAGAATTCAAAAAGACTGGGTTTTGGCTATGCCAGAGACCATAGAGGAGTGTACTACGTGGTAGCTAGATACACTCCCACCGGAAATGTGAACGGGCGATTCGCAGAAAATGTCCTCAGGCCGATCGGAAGATATAGGAGGGGCTGAGTCTGCGACTAACTTTTAAAGCAAAAAGAAAGCTAGTTTTCCGAAAACTTCTAGAATGGGTTGATCTCTAATGACCTATAAGAAAGGTATAATTGTATTTACACCTAAAAAACATGTATTTTAAATGAAAAAAAATATATCAATTCAAACAGGTGAGATAAGTTTTAACTTCGTTTTTTAACTTTCGTTAATGATTAATGCAGTGCTGCTTAGTCTAAAAACCAGTCAAATAAAAACAGTAAAAGTTAAAAAAAGGTTTCAGGTTAAATGCCAATCGATGGAAAATCTTTTTACGAGTTCACCGATTCCATTCCAGATTTGGGCCACGTTACCCAAGTATTTCGGCGAAAACAAAGCGCCGAATTTCGGAGTTCTCGTGCTCGTTGAAAAGGCCATTCAAACCCAATTTCTTGGCTTCTGACACCAGGCGAACAGAAATCCCTGAAGGTGGCTGCTGAGTTCTAAGACTTTATTTCACGGAGCCCTCCCATTGGTTGACCAATGAAAACCAAGCTTACAGATTTCTTAAATTAACCGTTAATTTCCTTCCAGTGTACAGAGACGTAGTCAGCGAAAGAAGGGGTTTGGGGGGACAAACTCCCCCTAATAGCGATTTTAGGCTCCCTGAGAACACTTTTGACTACGCCCCTGCTAAACGCAGGCAACTGAAAATAGAACACCTTCTAACGTTTTTGTTCGCCTGGTGTTTCAAAACGAAGAAAATGTATTTGAGCGTCGCAATCGACCGACCAAATCCAATTTTTCCTATGCAAACTGGGCAGTTCCTGATTTTGAAGTACCAGGCGAACAGAAAGCTCAGCAAGCGACCAGAATCTTAAGCGAGTGTTTTGCGATCAGCTGTTATTTTACAGGATGGCTGCCACAAAGTCCGCTCCCATTGGTTGACCAATAGGAGAAAGCTCATTATTGGAAGACAACCGTTAGCTTGCAACATAGCGCAAACTAGAGATGAGCAAATAGCTTGATTCTTTTTTCGTGTCACGATTTTGTCACGTCAGGCACGAAAGTGCTTTAAGTTGTATGGAGCTTGCCAAAAAAAATACGCATAAATTTTAAAAACGAACAAACTGAAATTTGGAATTGAACTTTTCGAGAGGCAACAAATAATTTATTTATATTAAAACGCGGCTTAGAACTAGCAAATAATCGAGCAAAGGCTTACGAACGAGTATTATTTGCTTAATATCGGAGCTACAATATAATTTCGCTAGTAAATTCATGGGCAGATGACTAACTTAAGGCTACGGAATGCAGGTGTAAAACAAGTTAAATGCGCATAACAACTATCTTAGGGGCTAGGTGTCTGATTATCTGACTAGTTGGGCTAGGATGACTAGGATGAGAGTGATTGATCGAGGAGGACGACTCGCCTCAGGACTCGCCGCACATCTTGCGCAGCGACGCGGTTAACACTCAGAAGGCGGCCATCGAGGGACTCCGGCTGTTGCGCAGGGGCGTGAGTAGAGGCGTGGCCGGACTGCTGGCGCGGCTGAAACAACTGGAGCAGCAACTGGAGGCCTCCTCCGGCTCTCCCTCGCCGGCGGCCTTGTGGTGGTACGGAATCGGTCGCTTGCGGGCACTGTAAATACAAAATTCAATTAGTAAATGATTTGTATCCTGAATGAAAAGCAATGCAAAATCAAATAAATAACTCACCAAACTGAAAATCGTAAGGAACACAAAATTTTTGGCTAAAAATCAAACAAACAAAATCCTATAAAACCCCATAATCGGTCAGGTGACAAAGTTTATTTGCGGCTTCGCTATATTACGAGAAATTAAGATGACACACAAATGGAAAGCTACAAAAATATATAAAAGAGTTTGGTGGTGCATAGTTGAATAGTCAAATTATAAGTAGTTCCTGAGCCAGCTGAAAAAAATAAAATCATTAAGAAGAAATCAGGCGTTACGTGTTGTGTATAAATAAAATATCAAATCAATGCAACTCAAGCGGATAATGGATAATGGCAATCAACTAGCGTCTTGCACTGCGCGGCGGCGATCGACGGCTACGGAATTAAGGAAATAAAATATAAAACAAAGGAATTAATAAATTTTAAGAATTAATCAAATAAGGCTGATAAAAACCAGGAATCCCTCCTAGCTACCTCGTTATGCGACGTCTGTCTAGAAAGCTTGGCGAGCCGCGACGCCTCGGGATGGAGGGGGACCGAGATCCGGACTGTGAGGATCCGGAACCACTGCCGGAGGAGGAGCTGCCCGAGCTGCTGTGCGATGAGCAGCTGGAGCGGGAAGAGTGCGACCCGGAGCGGGACCTGGAACTGCGCGATCCGCTTCGACTGCTGGATGAGCTATACCGCCTGGAAAGGGAGATGGAATACAGCTACAGTATATAGATATATATATATTACAAGATTTGTATAATCCAATGACATATAAGCTTCTAGGATATTAGAAATAAATGCCTAATGTTCCCTTATAACAGACTAGTTAAATCACCTAATTGGCCATATGTGTTCCTTAATTAACTTTTGTAGAACATTTGTTATTACATTATTGAAAAACATTATTGTGGAGCTCCAAGTATTTGTAACCATCTGTGTGGTTACATTCGTATTCGTTTTAAATAAGTTTGAAAGAGAATTCTTTTGCATTCCGGATTATCATGGAACCATTTAGTTTAATGGGAAATGCTTGATTTCAACTAAAAGGTTAAAAGGTGTTTATTAGCTTACAAAGAAAAATAATAATTCATTGTCAGTAGACATATATATGTTTAATTGGAGTTTGCTTCAAAAACCAATAAATTGTTGATTATGACACTACTAGAATTGTATTTGAATAAAAAAGAATATGCAAAATATGTGTGTAAGTTTCTATGTCTTATAGGCAGTGTTGTATCGAGCTTCTTGGTTTAAATATTGTTCATTGGTACAATCAGGGTACTATATCTCAAATAAATCTTTCCCTTAACCATTATTTTAAGTTTTACTTAGTTGTACCACTTCTCAAATAAATCTTTCCCTGAACCATTATCTTAGATTTTACTCAGTTATACTTACGATCTTGAGCGGCTGCTGGAGTGATGTCGATGGTGGCTCCCGCTGGTGCGCCGTTTGCTCCGACTCCGGCTCCTCCGCTCGCGACTCCGGCTCCGGCGCGCCGCACTCTCCGCCGCCGCTGCTGCCGCCACGGTGGCCGTGGATACCTTGGAGACGATGGCGTCCACCAGCGAGCTGTCCGCGAGCGCTGCGACTAGGGGCTGTGGATCGTGAATTTTGAAGGGTTTTATAACGATTTTCGGTTTCTGTTGGTGCTGATGATGATGATGATGGTAGCTAATACTATTGGCGGCCACGGCTGCGGCCGCTGCTGCCGCATTGAAGCTAATGGGACCGCCGCCGACACCACCACCACCACCCCGGATATGCGGCGGATGCCCCAGTAGAGCCGCACCCTGCCCACCGGCCACGCCCACACCTGCTCCGGCCAGCGACAGGAGTCCCGGATGCCGGGCTGCATGCCCGAACAAAGCCGAGTTGTAGACCAGACCGCGGGCCAAATGGTGTGCCTGCTGCTGCTGCAGAGTGTGCTGGTGGTTCTTGCAGATGTTGTAGTGGGTGGCGGTCAGCAGGGGACCGTGGTTGAGGCGGTTGGGGGTGCGGTTGTAGGTGCCCGGCGTGCCCGCCAAAAAGGGCAGCATGCCGGGGTTATTGTTGCTGCCGCTGCCGCTGCTAGAGTTGCTACTGTTGGGATTCGAATGGGGGATTCCGACACCGCCACCACCACCACCACATGCATGGGGGTTGTTAGTACTATTATGTCTACTGTTTGGGTTATTGTTCAGCGTGCGGTTGTGGAATACGCGCTTCCCGGGAGGATGCTGCTGCAGATGTGCTGGCTGGTGATGCGACTGATGCAGCTGGTGCTGTGGAGGCGGCCTGCTGTGATGCAGGTGCATCTTGTGACCCACTGTCGGACTCTTGGCCTCGCCATTTGCCGCCACGTGGGGCGTCTTGCAAATGGGCGGTGTGCTGGCGTCCCTTTTCTTGAGCGGCGCCGGCGGTTCCTCCACAGACATGGCCAGCTCCTGCTCCCGTTCCCTTTCACGTTCCCGCTCCTTGGGCTGCTCCAGCGGAAGTATAACCGCCAGGGGCGGCGGGGGCGTGGTCGTTGTCAGTGGGTTAATCAAAGCGGTCACATTGTTAGCAACAAGGAATTCGCTTAGCGAGTTACGTTTAGTAGCGGTCGGTAGTAGGTCGCCGCTGCCACTTACTTCGCCGCTGCCCTCCTTGGCCGGGTCCTTCTCCATGATCCTGATCTTTTGCTTGGCCTTGGCCGCTATGCCCGACTTGAGCTGCTCCAGCATGCGCAGCTCCTGCTGCTCCTCGTGCTGCCGCCGGCTCTGTTGGAATTCCTCCAAAGCGGTACCATCCACTCCTGTTTCGGCATCGTCGCTGCCATCGTCGCTTTGGGCTCGTAGGCGAACTACTGGAGCGGGTTTCGGTTCCCTAGCCTTCGAAGGCCGCTTCTTGTCCTGAATGATGTCCTGGTAGCGCTCCGGATGCCTTTCCGCGGGGGAGTAGCGCAGCTCCGAGGAACTCGAACGGGAGCGACGCCTCGCTGGCTTGGGACTCGCTTCTGTCGCCTTGCTTTTGGGCTTGGAAACGGAGCGCTCCCGTTTTACACTCCTGCGGCGCTCCTTCTTGGCTGGACTGGCCTCCTGCTTAACCTCCTTTGCCGGCTCTGGTGTCCTACTGCTCCTCCTCTTCTGTTTCCTAGGCGTGGGTTTGGGCGATGGCGTCCGCGAGGCAGACGACTGGCTACTGCAGGAGCTGTCTGAATCCGAGCTAGAGCTGGAGGCAGCCCGCTGGCGCTTGGTCTGCTCCAGGGCCACCATCACCGACTTGGTGCCCAGGATATCGTTGACAGTGTCCTCGGCCGCTTTGAAGGGATTGAAGGCTGGTGTGGGCACCACCGTCTTCTTGGGCGGCACCTCTGGGGAATGGGCTGGCGATCGGGTGCGTGACCGGGAGTTGCGACTTGGCTTAGTGTCATCCGTTCGCTTTCTTTCCCTCGCAATGGAGGGGGAACGCTTGCGGTTGTCTTCCTTCTTTCTGGGACTACGCTCTTTCGGCGAGTTTGTGGGCCGGGATTCCTTGGCAGGACGTTCCCTGGAGCGTTGCCTCTCCTTGGAGCGGTGCTTCTCCTTGGAACGTAGTCGCTCCTTGGAGCGTTGCCTCTCCTTGGACCGTGGTCTGTCCTTTGATCTTTGTCTCTCCTTGGAACGTT